GAGCTAGAAAGCCAACTGTCACCAGTGATACCTAGCAACCAGCCCAGAGTCCAGTGGAATAGACAGAACTAAAGTTTGCTTCCCAAATAGGCACATCTCTGTAAAATACACCTGCCCCTTGAAAGCTATTAACCTGCTTCCTAAATATAACCACCAGAACTTCACACCTGAAAACCCAACCTAGAAATTCAGGGGAGATGGTAGCGATGTTGTCTCTCTCACTCCATTCCTGTCACCTCAGCCCTGCACTGGAAGCCCCTGTCCCTGGGACATAGCAGCTACTTCTCTCTTCAGCTTCTTCTTTCACCTTCGGTAAAAGCCAACATCTCGCCCTAACCGGTTTTGCTCAATGGATAGAGCATTGGCCTGCGAACTGAAAGGTCCCAGGTTCGATTCTAGTCAAGAGCATGTACCTTGGTTGCGGGCACATCCCCAGTAGGGGGTGTGCAGGAGGCAGTTGATCGATGTTTCTAACTCTCTTATCCCTCTCCCTTCCTCCCTGTAAAAAAAATATATATTTTTTAAAAGCAACATTTTTACAGTAGTTTATAAGACACTCAGAATCTATCTTGGGATAGATACCCTGCTGACCTCCTCTCCAGCTCTTCTCAACCAACACTCCTGCTGCTCCACCCACACCCACCTCCTTGTTAGCTCCCAACATGAGACACATCCTGGCCTTTACTTGCTGCCCCCTCTACCCTAGAGCTCTCTCCTTCATTCTTTCCAGTTTTTACTCAATTGTCACTGCATTTGAAAAAAAGGTAAAAATAAAATTGAAATTAATTCTAATAACAATTTTTATTTAACCCGATATATCAGAAATAATCACTTCAACATACAGTCAACATAAATATGTTATTAGATATTCTGAAGTCTCTTTTGGTTTGGTAACACATCTTTGAAATTGGTGTGTACTTTACACTTACAGCACATCTCAATTCAGACCAGTCACATTTCAGGAGCTCCAGAGCCACATGTGCTAGTGATGACAGCACTGGACAGCACAGCACTAGGGGAAAAGAGAGTTATGGGGATCTTCAAAACAACACTTAAGGGCAGTAATAAGAGTATGTACAGGATCACTCAACTACCAGAATGAGGACCTAAACCTCCAGTGACCTTCTAACCCCAAAGACCTTGTTCATTCTGGGACACAATAGAGACTACCTCACTTCAAACAATGGGATCGTGGTTGGCCTCAACCAACCAAACTTAATATCTCCAAAACAAAACTCATCCTCTCACCATGAGTGCCTCCTACTCCCTTCTCATCTCATTTCAGTTGATGGCACCATTATCTACTTGCTTACTCAAGTCATCCTCTTTCATCTTTAGGTTAATGAGCACTTTGTCCAGAAGGCAATTTAAAATCTAAATGTTTATCAAAAAATGCTCCTTTCTCTCCACCCCAACTGAGCTTCATCTGTCACAAGAACCTCCCCTTCCGCCCAGTTCTATTGAGATATAATTAACATACCTAAGTTTAAAGTTTCAGCATAATGGTTTGACTTACATAATTGTGAAATGATTATGGTAATAGGTTTAGTTCGCATTCATCATCTCGTATAGATACAATAAAAAGGAACAAACATTATTTTCCCTTAAAATTATGGACTGCTTCATGAATTTGCTTGGACAGGAGCCACGCTTATGTATTATTCCAATTTTAGTATATGTGCAGCCAGCACCAAGAACTTTCTAACTAGTTCCCTTCCTCAGTCTCTCCCCACACCCAACTTCAACAGTAGTTACTACTTCATAAGGCCCTACAGGGCTCTCCATCCCCTACCTATAATGAAGGCCAAGTTCTTTTCACATGGCACGTAACTCCCTCCAGGATCTCATCTTGGCTTACCTAACAATGCCCCATAGTTTGCCGTTTTGGGAACCTGAACAAGTTTACTTAACCTCCTCAGAGCCTGCTACTCTTCTGTAAAAATAGCCATCCCAATCCCTCAAAAAGCTGACCTGCGGTTTAAAAGACATCATAAATACATTTTAAACAGTACACAATCGGGATTTACTCTCCCCACCACTTCTTTGCATTTTATATCTGCTATATCTACCGAGTGCCTCTTTTCAATTCAATAATGTTTGTAGAATACTTACTATGCGCTAGGCCCTGTGTGGAAACAAGACAGAGGGTACACAGAAAAGTAGGCTGAATGACATTCTCCTTGCCTTCCTCAAGCTCATTACAATACAGTTTTGCAACCAGTATCTTTATAAAGACTACACAGACTCTAACATTATCAGCAAATCAAAGTCCAGACGGGGCTGAGCCCCCGGGGGGGGGGGGGTCTCCACGTCCCGGAACCTCTGCTTTCCCGGCCCCGATCGGAGACCAGGAAGCCTGCAACCCGGAGCGCAGCGCCTCCCGCCCACCCTCACAATCAATCCCCCACGTGGCAGGCGCGGGGCGGGGCCGGGCGGCGCAGGCCGGGCCGGGACCTTCGCGCCTGCGCGCTGCGGCCGGCGCTAGGACCCGGATTTAAAGAGACAGGCGACACCACCGCGGCGGCGGAGCGCGGCCTGGGGGCGCCGGGTCGGAGGCCTTCGCTGGGTGCCGGAGCCGGGAAGGCAGGTGAGCAGCGGCGCGGCGGGCCTGGCGGTGGGGAGGCCGGCGGCCCGGCGCGAGGTCCGGCGCGGCCCGGGGGGCGCCCCCTCCGCTCCTCCCCCGCCCGCCCGCCGCGGAGTGCGGGCACACCCTCGGTGACGTGGCGGCCCCCCTGGCGCCCACGGGGGCTGGCGCGCGGCTCCCCGGACCCCCACGGGGCCACGCCGAGGAGGGTGCCCCCGCGGGGCCGCCCTGGGCCCGGCCGGTCCCTTTCTCCCCCCAGCCCTGGCTGCGTCCCCGGGCCCCCGGTGTCCGGCGGCCGGGAGCCCCTGCCCCCTGCCCCGCGGGCAGGTTCTCCGGGAAAGGCGGCGGCGGAGGCTTTCACTCCCCGCCCGTGCAGCCCCCGGAGCCGGGCCCGGGGCTGGGAGCCGCCGCTTCCCTCCAGGCAGCGTCCGCGCCGCCCGCCCGGCCTCCACACCCCGAGCGCAGGGGGCGCCTCTCCCGATGGGTGTGGGCTGCTTCGTAAACAGCTCGGAGGAATGCTCTCAGCTCCTTTGGGAGCCTGCCGCACATACTTCCCTGTACTTCACCTCCTGGTCCGTCATGTTTATTGATCTTTAGAGAGAGGGAGGGAGGGAGGGAGAGAAACAATGATGGCAATCAGATTGGCTCCCTCTTGCACGCCCCCTACTGGGGGATCCCGTCTGCAACCCGGGCATGTGCCCTGACCAACCAGGAATGGTACTGGGACCCCCGGTTCATGGTCCATGCTCAACCACCGAGCCACACCAGCCAGGCTCTGTGGGTCCTAAACTTTTGGAGGTTGGAGAAGGTTTTTTTGGTGTGAATTTCATGGAAATCATAGAGTGCTAAAAAAAAAAAAAATGCATTTATGAATATGCACATTTTGTATACATTTTTAAGGCGTTCACAGTCCACCTCGCACAAACCACACACCAGCCCATCCATGGACTCATTCTAACTTCCTGACACATTCTGGGAGGTAGGTATTATTTCCCCTGTTTTAGAAATAAGAAAACTGAGACTCAGCCCTAGCCAGTTTGGCTCGTAGACCCTCAGACTGAAGCATCCAGGCGTCACATTCCAGTCAAGGGCTCCTACCTTGGCTGCAGGCTCTTGGACCCAGCCTGGTGGGGGAGTGTGCAAGAGGCAACCAATTGATATCTCTCTCACATCGATGTTTCTCTCTCTCTCCCCACTCCCTTCCACTCTCTAAAAATCAATGGGGAAATAGTCTTGGGTGAGGACTTTCTCAAAGATAACAGCCCTAAACTGTAAGGTCACACTTGCACTCTCATCCTCCATTCCCATCCACCTGCTTTCCCCTGCATCACATCGCACTACGTTAAGTGAAGTCTGCTTTTCATTATATGTAACCCAATAGCAGTTTCACACAAAGCAGTGTGCAGGTTAGAGTAATTTCCAGTATATTTAAAATCAGACCTATGAAGATACTTCAGAAAATAGAAATCTAAGAAAATGAGGGGATACCATGCACGTATTATTCCTGTTTCCTTTTATCTTAGATAAGATGCTTCAGCATTCCCTGACTCGAGTTTCTGAAATATAAACAGGCTAATTGCACATAGGGAGCCTCTCTGTGTGCCCAGCTCTGTTCTAAAGTGACAAGTCCTTGAACTTGGCATAATTATTATCCACACTTTACAGCTGAGGAAACAGAAGAAAGGAGAAGTTAAGTAACCAACCAGGGTCACACAGCTAATGAGCTAGGACTTGAACACAAGCAGTCTGATTCTAAGGCTTCCTTTAATTGCTTCCCAAAATAGGGCTTCTGATTAAATTACTGATCTACATAGATGTGGCTTAGTTTCCAGGGGTGGCATATATCTATACTTCACATTAAAAACATGGAGCCGGGCCTGTGTGGCTCAGTGGTTGAACATTGACCTATGAATCAGGAGGTCACAGTTCAGTTCCCAGTCAGAGCACATGCCCAGGTTTCGGGTGAGACCCCCATTGATGTTTCTATCTCTCCCTCTCCCTTCCTCTCTGAAATCAATAAAAATGTATTTTAAAAAAACAAAACTTCATGGGCATGTAACTTTTCTTGGTCATTAAAAAAAAAAAAAGCTTCAGGTCTTGTAATACTTAGGGTCATCATTCATTTTGAGCATCGGGTGTTGCTGATGGCCTGAGAAAAGCTTCTATGTTATTTGGATTCTCTTGATGGTGACTTGCTAATTATATATGTGTACGTTAGATAATTGAATACCCTCTGCAGACTGAATTTTACTGTATTAGAACTCTTCATCCTCATCGGCATTAAATCTTTTATCCATTGGAAAGGGTCTGATGCGTCGGCATAGACTGTATAGGACCTTGGCCTTGGAGAATTTGAAAGCCTTGCTCCTCGTTTATATCTCACCTTTTCTGCCTCTCCCCCTTTTTGTGCAGCTGCATGACTTGGACTTTCAAGATCCTCTTCCCACCGACCCTCCGTGTGCTCAGCCGAAAAGAAGTCCGCCTGTTCCGAGAACATCTCCGGCCAGACGCCAAACCCTTCAGCCAGCGGTCCGAAGCCGATTGGCTTCATGGGCACTGCCTCCTCCAGGAGAGAAAGCCCGTTCTGCCCTTTCAGAAAGGCAGTCTGAGACCACGTGCCACCTGCCTTGCCTTCTCGCCAGGGTCGCATGTGGGGCTCTGCAGCGGGCCCTGTGAGATGGCCGAGCAACGGTTCTGTGTGGACTATGCCAAGCGCAGCACAGCTGGCTGCAAAAAATGCAAGGAGAAGATTGTGAAGGGCGTGTGCCGCATCGGCAAGGTGGTGCCCAATCCCTTCTCGGAGTCGGGGGGTGACATGAAAGAGTGGTACCACATCAAATGCATGTTTGAGAAACTGGAGCGGGCCCGGGCCACCACAAAGAAAATTGAGGACCTCACAGAGCTGGAAGGCTGGGAGGAGCTGGAAGATGCTGAGAAGGAGCAGATCAGCCAGCACATTGCAGGTGGGGTGAATACTGCTTTCTCATCTCACTTGGTGCCGAGAAAAAAAATGACAAGGAGAGTAGAGTCCAATGTGTATCTGTGTATCTGTCTCCTGTTAACTTTATTTGAAAATGATTTCAAATTCACAGAAGGAGTTGCAAGAATAAAAATAGTACAAAGAGCACTTCTATTCCCTTCACCCAGATTTACCTTTCGTTGACATTTAACTGTCTTTGGTTTATTGTCTGTGTTTATGTATGGTCTCTCTGTTACTCTCTCCTTACACACACACAGTTTAAGAATAGGAACATTCTCTTATGTGACTATCCCACATACAGCTAGCGACTTTAGTAAATGTATTCTTTATAATAGTGTAATCTACCATCTGTATTCCAGTTTTGTCCAGTTGTTAATATCTTTTATAGCATTTCTCCCCCTCCAGGATGGAATCCCTATCTTATGATGACGAATTAAACTTGGTACTATCTCTTTGGCCTCCTTTAATCTGGAACGTTCCAGTCTTTTATTACATTGACATTTTTGAACAGAATATTTATTGGTAGATCAGTTTTTTTCTATCAATGTATTTTCAGTTTGGACTCACAGATAACTTCTTTTTCCTGGTGGCTGATAACTTTAGTATGCTTTATTAATTTGGTACTTTAATGTACAGTTGCGAGATGCTTTGAGCTGGTTTCTGTGTCCTGAGTGCCTTTATCTTGTTTTTTAAAATGTTTTCAAGTACTCCCTTACTCTCTGGCATGACAGGATGCTCTTAGGTTTACCTTCTGTGTATCCTCTGCCTGCCCTGGGATCCGCCATTCTCTGAAGAGTCCAGGTTCCTGTTAGTGAGGAGTGGCATTAGAGACCAAAATCTGAATGCTGCATGTCCTTGTTGCCCCGAGGGATCTGATAGAACTAGAAAGTGTATGTGTGTAATGAAACGCACATACACAAACACACATAAATAATAAAGGCTCACCTACGTGCATATTTACATTAATGTCTATTTTAGAAATCATATACTGATAGTACCAAATCCAATTAGTCCTTTATGACCATCAGTGAAGTAATATTTAAAGTAATACTCATATCTTCAATTAAATATAGTTTTTGTCACTGTAGGAGGACTCTGTGGCTCTAAACATGGACACTCTTGTTTTGTTTCGTTTTTATCCTTGTTTTTTGAGAGGGGAAAAAGACATCCAGGAGAGAAAACTTCTCATATATATATACCTTTCTCAAGCTCCCTGTCCTCCTGTGCCCTGCCTTAGCCATTGGCCTCAGCCTGTTGCTCCTTAGCCCATCTCATTCTGAGGAAGGAAAATATACTTCACAGCTCAACTCAGCGGCCAGAAGTTTCCCTTCTCTGCCCTTTTCACTTACTTTCTTGTGTATCTATAAATTGGGGCTAATTCCATGAAAATACTTGGGAACCTCAGCATCTATTGAAATAATGATTTCTGATTTCCCCCAAGTAATCTGGAGATTATTATATGTGGAATAAGAGGTAGAGAGTGTTGATGAAAATGTAAGCTATTAATAAATAAAGGGTAACTGGGTCTTTTGTCCCCAGAACACCCTTTCCCATAACCATATTACCAGGTACCTCCACCCAGCAGCAATCAGCCTTGGGGTAACACCATGGTTACCAAGCAAGGCTGTAAGAGCAGTTGATAGGTCGTTTGGAAACTTTCTCAGGGATCTTCTGCTGAAGGCTACTTTCCTTTCTTTTGGGGTCCTACAGACCTGTCTTCCAAGGCAGCGAGCGCGCCAAAGAAGAAAGCCGTTGTCCAGGCTAAGCTGACAACCACGGGCCAGGTGACATCTCCAGTGAAAGGGGCTTCCCTTGTCACCAATACCAATCCCCGGAAGTTTTCTGGCTTTGCAGGTAAGCTAGGCCAGGTCCTCCTTTTAATTCGTTAGCCTATTTGGGACTGTGGCTAAGAGTGAAATTCTGTCTCATTAATAATTTGCTTCCATCTGAGCAGAGACAGATAATGCTAATTCGCAACACTCTACCAATATTGCATTTCTTTGTATACTTTATTGTAACAGAAAGATATTTGCTTTGTGATTATATTCCCTTCAAAGTAGTTACTTGGGTCAGACAGCTTATCATAACCTGCCTTTTACTTCCTTGTTTTGTTTTGATTTTATAATGAAAGAATTTTGAAAAATTGCTTCCTTAAACTTGCCCAAACTAGAGATGAAAGGAGAAGGCAGGTAGCATACATGCCTTATGTAACAAACCGCAATGGGCAAGGGAGAGGCTTTTACATATGCCGTTTTTGTTCTTTAGTTAACTTAGGAAGTACTTCCATTAGGTCTACTTTGTAATGAAAAAGTTGATATTCAGGTTTATTATGGAATTAGTATTAATACTGAAGTCTGTTTAACTCCAACACGTGTGCTCTTTTCCCCTACATCCTCTTGTGCCTTATTTGGAAACATTGTCTGACTAACTCAGATCAGAAAATGAAGCCAAAATACATGGACACAGGAGTTGTTTGGATGGTAGCTTTATGTGAGTAAAAGAAGCTTAGACTTGAGGTCAGAAGACCTGGGTCCTGGTTCCAGCACCGGACCCAACAGCTTGCTTGCTCAGGGGATCGAGTCACTCCACCTCTGAGCCTCTGTGGCCTCATGTGAGAAGTGGGAATGGCAGCACCTGCCTCCGGTATCCCACAGTGTTCTCACGAGACTATAAGAGAGAGGTTGTAAAAGGGTGCCTGAGTCTAAGGGATTTTTATTAGTTTAAATTCTGAGGTGCTTTTTCTGTTAATGGTAGGCCAAAGGTAGAGAACAGTTCATGTGGCCATCAGGACAGCATGTTTCTGGAAAGGCCCTGGTCCTGGGGAGGGAATTTGGGAGAAGTTGAGGGAAACAAGGTGATCTGGTTCTTGCTGAACATCGATGCTTTGAAGATTTGTCCACAGCACCCTATTTAGACTCCAGATCAGAGATGAGGATGCATTTATAATTTACAGAGCCAGAGCTGCAGTTTACATCAGCAAGCTGCTTGCTAATGGCTCTGCTGCAAGCTTGCAAAGTGAAATTTGTTTTGTAAATTGTCCCAGAGACCTAGAGGGGATCACAGTTATTTTGGGGTGTCTGGAAGAAAAGCCCTGCTCGTTGGCAACCTCTAAGAAAGAAAGGAAAGTGGTGATGGGGGTGGCAAAAGGCTGGGAATGTCTCTCTTCTCAGGCCTAGGTCTTCTCATCAGGAAGAAGAGCTTGAACTAGATGATATTGTGGTTTCTTCCAGCTCTGACAGTCTGCGGTAGCAATGATTCCATGTTGACTAACTCGTCCTTTGATTTCTTCCTCCTTCCTCATCCCAACTTGTCCGGGGTCAGCTTTACATACAACTGCTCTGAGACCTCCTGGCCACTTTTGGCATGAGGTGGCCTTTGTTCTCTGGAGCGCTCATATAAAGAGATGCTCCTCAGCTGGTCCTCTGCTTGGGTGAAGCCACTGTTTCTTTGCCATTAATAGCTGTGAGATATTGGGAAATTACTTTACCTTCATTTCTTTACCTATAAAATGTGATATATGTACCCCACAGGGCTATTTTGGGGGATTAAGTGAAGCCACCTATAGGGCACCAGTAGAGTTCCTGTTGGTTTCCCTTTCCTCCTTATCAGTAAAGAAAAAATAATCATCTCTGATGTTTCCTCTTCAACAGCCAAGCCCAACAACTCTGGGGAAGCCTGCTCAAGCCCCACCCCCAAGACAAGTCTGTCCTCAAGCAAATGTGACCCCAAACACAAGGACTGTCTGCTGCGTGAGTTTCGGAAGTTGTGCGCCATGGTGGCTGACAATCCTAGCTACAATTCAAAGACCCAGATCATCCAGGACTTTCTTCGGAAAGGCTCAGCTGGAGGTGAGGCTGGAGCATTCTGGGTGGGCTTTTCCTCTAGAGAGCTGAGCCATGGCCGGATTCACGGGCATGTGAACTGTACAGTTGCACAGGTTGAATGCTCTGTTATTGCTGGCTTGAAATTCTTTTTTTCCTTTTTTCATATATATATATATATATATATATATATATTTATACACACACAGACACACACACACACTAGAGGCCCAATGCACAAAATTTGTGCAAGGGGCTCAGCCCCTGCCACCATGGCAGCTGCCTCTTGCTTCCCAGGGGCTTCTGCTGCCTCTGCCTTGGCTCCCCACCGCTTCGGCTTCATCCGGAAGGTCATCCGGTCTAATTAGCACATTACACTTTTATTATTATAGATTTATTTATTATTTTTTTTTAATGACAGCAATCTGAGGTGTTTTTTTTTTATATATATATATTTTATTGATTTTTCACAGAGAGGAAGAGAGAGATAGAGAGTTAGAAACATCGATGAGAGAGAATCATCGATCAGCTGCCTCTTGCACACCCCCAACTGGGGATGTGCCCGCAACCAAGGTACATGCCCTTGCCCGGAATCGAACCCGAGACCTTTCAGTTCGCAGGCCGACGCTCTATCCACTGAGCCAAACCGGTCCGGGCTATTATTATAGATTTATTGACTTCAGAGAGGGGAGAGATATATAGAAACATCAATGATGATAATCATTCTTCAGCTGCCTCCTGCATGCCCCACACTGGGCATGGAACCTGCAACCCGGGCCTATGCCCTGACTGGGAATCAAATCATGACCTCCTGGTTCATAGGTCAACGTTCAACCACTGGGCCAACCCGGTTGGGCCAGTTCTTAATAATTTTGAACAAAGAGCCCCACATCTCTATGTTTATAATGGGCCCCAAATATGAAGCCAGTTCTGCTTTGAGCACATTAGAATCTTTCTTCCCCTGCCCTGATTCACTGTCCTGCATGTTTGACTAGGTTTTTGTGAATCACTGCACAGCTTGGAATAGAAACTTCCAACTCTGCTTTTTTCATTCACCTAACAAGTTATCACTGAGCATCTACAATGTGCTCATCGCAGGGGACACTAAAGTGAAAGTCACGGCTCTGCTCTGTGGGAGTTCACCCAGGGGCCACGTTAGGGGAGGCGGACACATAAACCCCAAACACTGGCCGCCTGCTGTCTGAAGTGCACAGCTGCTGGGGCAGCACAGGCAGCAATGTAGACACCCCTCAGTTCCTTGAGTTTATGTATTTACTTGTTTAAGCTCCTTTCGTCTGTCTCCAGATGGTTTCCACGGTGATGTATACCTAACGGTGAAGCTGCTGCTGCCCGGTGTTATTAAGAGCGTTTACAACTTGAATGATAAGCAGATTGTGAAGCTTTTCAGCCGCATTTTTAACTGCAGCCCCGATGACATGGCCCGAGACCTGGAGCAGGTCAGAGGGAAGGGAGGGTGGGCGGCACTCCAGGTGGGGTTCCGCCAAGCCCGGCACCTGCGATCTCTCTTTCTGGTCGGGCACAGGCTGTTTCAGGAACTGAAACCCGTTTGAGCTAGCTTCCGTTCTGAGAGAGCTGAAGGGGAGGCTGCAGCTGTTAGTTTCAGAAGGTTTTGAGGATTGAAGTCCTATTACTGCTGAGCCACGAAAGCCAGTGCTCGAGGTCCGGGACTTAAGACTTCCTTCTCTCTCTCCTGGGGCTCTTTTTTGGACCCTGTTTTTTTCCTTGCTTCTTCCCCTCTCCCCCATAACTTGGGCTTACCATTCAGCCTTGGTGTGCCCATGGTTCTAGCTCTGGCACCGTGGAAAGTTTCTGTCTGAGCACCCCTCTCCCCCGTTATCTGATGACCATATTTGTCTCTTAGTTCAAATTCTAACGGGAATCAGATTGGCCCAGCCCTGAATTAGTCCTTGTGTCACTTTTCAGCTAAGGCAGTTGGCCAGATCCTTTAGTGAATGGAGGTACTCCTTCCAGAAACTGGGTGGGATCAGTGTGTGTGAGCTGGGGATAGGGGCGATGATTGATCTCTCTTCAGGTCCTAGGGATTGGGGATACCCTTGGCCACTTTGGGGTTGCAGCAGTGGCGTTTTGGTTTTTGGAGACAGGGTGACGTGTCAGAGACAATCAGAGTCTTCTTTGAGCAGAGCAAGTCTTTCCCCCCAGCCGCCAAGAGCCTCCTCACCATCCAGGAGGTGGACGAGTTCCTCCTGCGGCTCTCCAAGCTCACCAAGGAGGATGAGCAGCAGCAGGCCCTGCAGGACATCGCCTCCAGGTCGGGGAGCTGCCCAGTGGGGAAGGGCGAGGGGAGATGGGATCACTGGGAGGAAGGTTTGGGGATCAGAGCTCTTCAGAGACCACGCTGAATGTGCCTCCTCCCCCAGGTGTACAGCCAATGACCTTAAGTGCATCATCAGGCTGATCAAACACGATCTGAAGATGAACTCGGGTGCAAAACACGTGTAAGTACTAGCACCTCTGACAACCTAAGCTGCCAGCTTCCTTTGTTGCCAGCTGGTGTCAGGACTTTGGAGACCGATCTGGATTTGAATCCCGATCCTACCTTCTTCTTTTCTGGGGCACCTGCCACTTGGCCTCGCTCAGCCTCCGTCCCCATATGTAAGTGGAGGAGACACACCTTCTCACAGGAAGCATAATGCCAGTCAGTTGCTCCTCCAGCCCCCACTTGGCTAGAGTAGCACCCACATAGGCACAGAGTCTCAGAAAAGCTCGCTGTCCAAGCTCTTTTCTCCTGCGACGGCCTTAGACAATAGGACATGGCCCTGCCCCCTCTCCTCTGTGAGGGCAGCCCGCTGGCCGAAGCGATGTGGTCAAAGGCAGGGGGTTTGTATCTGCTCCTGTCCACATCGGCAGGTTAGACGCCCTCGACCCCAACGCCTACGAAGCCTTCAAAGCCTCGCGCAACCTGCAGGACGTGGTGGAACGTGTTCTCCGTAATGAGCAGGAGGTGGAGAAGGAGCCAGGCCGGAGGCGAGCTCTGAGCGTTCAGGCCTCGCTGATGACCCCGGTGCAGCCCATGCTCGTAAGGATGCTGCTCGGGCCCTGCCTTCTCCCCCTCTCGGGGTCCCCTCTCCTTCCTTGGGAGATGTAGGGAGGTGCGAATGCTGATTTCCTCCCCCGCCCCCAAGGCCGAGGCCTGCAAGTCCATTGAGTACGCGATGAAGAAGTGTCCTAACGGCATGTACTCTGAGATCAAGTATGACGGGGAGCGAGTCCAGGTGCATAAGGACGGAGACCACTTCAGCTACTTCAGCCGCAGCCTCAAGCCCGTCCTACCTCACAAGGTCAGGCGCCTTCCTTCCTGCCAGGACTGGTTTTCCCTTCTGCCTCTTGAGACTCAGGGCCGGAGTGCCATAGCCGTGCCAGCTCTGCTCTGCAATAGGTTTGTTTTGTGTTTGTTGAGTAAATGAATGAATTCACTCATTCGTTCTTGGACTCTTCTAATGATGAGGGGTTGCTCAGGAGGCCAGCCAGAGCCCAGACCTGGGTTAGTCAGCACAGAGCCCCAGAGGACATGGGTGCTTCCCCTGCCCACAGTGAAGGTGGGACAGAGGGCCTATCTGGAGAGGGACTTGTGATGGTTTTTTTGCATTTCCATTTCCTGTATGCTCCCCACCAAGGTAAATTATGATTCAGACAAAGGGGCTATTGGGTTGTCAATTGTGAATTTATTGAACAAATATTTATCAAGTGCTTAAGTCTGTGCTAAGCACTGTTCTAGGGGTGGACATAGAGCAGGAAAATTAAAAAATAATAGAACCAAAGCCTGGTCCTCCAAAAGTTACATTCTGCTGTTAACAAAGCCTACGGGGGGCATTGAGAACCTCGTTCCTCAGCCCTTCTCAGCTCTCAGGGCCTCTGTGAGGCTGCCTTCAGGAAAAGCAGCTGGACATCTGGCCCCATAGCTAGTGAGTATATGGACCTCCTCTCCATGCTGCCCCTTCTTTCCTAGCTCAGAGGCCCAGGGTGGAGAGGCTGTGGTGTGCGGCTCAGGTCCTTCCCTCAGCTGGGCCTCCTGCGGGCACACGGAGCAGTCAGGTGTTGGTTCGGGTGTCCAGGGGACAGCGGCGGCCCTTCCCTCCCCAGGAAGCCTGAGTGCGGGCTCACTGCGCCGGGCACACAGGGAAACTGCTCCTGGCAAAGCGGCTCCGTGGCACCTCCTTTACCCGGGAGGAGTGGAGCCCAGCTTCCAGAACGCAAGCCCTGTCCCTGCTCCTTATAGTCCCACTCACCCCTTATCCCTCCTGTGGAGTGGAACAGGGGGCAGGCCTGTCCTGTCCCCACTCTAAGAATTACGGGTGGTTGTGGTCTGTGTCCCCTGCCAGGGAGGAGTGGACCACGGTCACGGACCTCACTGCTGCATCACTGAGTAGGGCTGCCATGGAGAGCAGTGGGCTTCTCCTAGTCAGGAACTGGCAGAAACTGGGGCTCTGCCTTGATCAGAAAAATCCAATTCCAAGCATCCTTTCTTACCGCTTTGAAGATGGCTCTGGGTTCAGAGCTCCCACTCAGAAGTCTCTCTCGGGTTTCCTTGCTGCTCCTAAGGGGGTTCATTTCTTTCTTTCCATCTTTTCCCATCCAGTCTGTTTTCACCCCTCCTCCCCAGATCTCTTTGCTACCTCCCTTCCTGTTGGCCTGCCCCTCGTTGTTTCTTCCTCGGTAGCCCATAGAAAAGGACTCGGCATGAGCCCGCCTCCTGCTGGGTCTGGGCAGGGTTCTGAAACAACCCCTTTCCTCTGTCCGGGTGGCTGGCAAGGCCTAGGTCTGTGTTGTCTAGGAGCTGGGCTTCCATGTGTTGGTGTTCTGTGTCCCTGCTGGGGCCTGGGCTTTGCTTTCTGTGGCGTGGCTTCAGGTCCCGCTGCCTGCTTCTCCCTCATTCGTGAGTCTTCTGCCTCCAGGTGGCCCACTTTAAGGACTACATCCCCCAGGCTTTCCCTGGGGGCCACAGCATGATCTTGGACTCTGAGGTGCTCCTCATCGACAACAAGACAGGCAAACCATTGCCCTTTGGGACGCTGGGCGTGCACAAGGTACTGGCTCAGGGCAAAGGTGCAAAATGACCGTGTGTGTGTGAAAGTGGAGAGCGATCACTCACTTAGGGTTGGGCTTATTCTTCATTTCTGAACTGTTTCTCAACCCAGAGTTTAAGTCTTCCTTTTTTCTTTTTTTCTTTTTTACATAAAAAGGATCTAGTGTTAGGAACTATTATTGTGTTGGTTTCTATTCAGGACCATTTGCTAAGTACCCTTATGGACCAGGGACCTCAGAGCACACATAGGTGCTTCAGAAGGTCTCTAGAAGTAACTGGTATTACCCATTTTATACTCGCTCACTCATTTTTCCCTCTGTACCTATTACCCTCCTCTGCCCTTACAGAAAGCTGCCTTCCTGGATGCTAATGTCTGCCTGTTTGTTTTTGATTGTATCTACTTCAATGATGTCAGCTTGATGGACAGGTGAGAAACCTATTTTCAGTTCTGGATAGGAAGGTGGGGAGTTCGGATTGGAAAGGAGGGGAGAGAAGGGGCTGGATCGCATACCTCTGGGCCAGGAGCTGGGCAGGGCCAGGGGCAGTGGCAGGAGAAGGCAGAGGTAGCACACTTGTGACTCATCAACTCCCCATTTAGTGCTAGTAAGAGAAGAAATGACTAGGCCTCATTTCTGAGACCCTAAGTCACAACCCTGCCCCCAAACTTTCTCCGCTACAGCAGAATGGACCACTGACAAAAATAGACTGTGAGCACAGTAGGGTTTCAGTTTCTCCAACAGCACCCAAGGGGACATGAGGCAGATGGTTTTCACTCAGAGGTTTTGCCTTCCGAGAGGCTCACAGCAGGAAGCTCATGATGGGAGGGCAGGGGCGGGGATTGTGGGCGAGACCATTTTAGGAAGAACTAGCTGCCTCCAAATTCTTAGGCTCAAGAAGCCAGTACTGGCCTCTTCCACACTTAGAAAGGGTACCCGTGCCACCGCCCCCACACTGGCTGTGAGCGTGGAGGGGAAGGGCAGTGGGAGGGAGAAAGAAGTGCTGAGAGTAGGAGTTGGGGTTTGGGCTTCAGGTCCTGAGGCCTATAGTCTGCTGACCCAAGAAACAGCCAGCCTTGGACCTGGGATGAGGCAGGTTCCAGGGATAAAAAACAAAGAGTAGGCGTCCTTTTTTGGGTGGGACCAGCATTCATACAATCTGTTTGGGCTGGAGGCCAGTTCTCCCAAGATTCAATAACGTAGAAACAGGAACTACAGGATGAGGTGGCTCTATCCCACAGTCTCATTGCCTGGGAGGGAGCCCCTGTAGCCTTGATGGGCAGCACTGTTAGGCACAGTCATGAAGCAGTATGTCATTGTGTCCCTTCCTCTTTAGAACTAATGGGGTGGGAGGATCCTGGCCTGACCCGGCTCTCATGCCCCCTGTAGGCCTCTGTGTGAGCGGCGGAAGTTTCTTCATGATAACATGGTTGAAATTCCCAACCGGATCATGTTCTCAGAAATGAAGCAAGTTACGGTGAGAGAAGACCCCACCTAGACAGCGCCTAATGGTTTGAAAACGGGGCAGAGAACCCCGTGGGCCCGATGTGACTGAATGAGTTATTTTATGGGGGCTACTGATGTGCATGTGTTGTCTCCTAGACTCCACCTAGGAAGGCAGGACATGAAACCTCCTAGCTGGGCTCTCTGTGTCTCAGAGACACAGCATCTTGGCTTTGAGACACAGGGAGTCCCTGCTCTGCAAACCCTTTGTTCTTTGTATTCAAGTCAAGGTGTTTCTACATAGCACCCTCTCAATTCTCATACGCACTCGATTCTCAGCATCCCTCCTCTTATCCCTCAGAAAGCATCCGACCTGGTCGACATGATAAACCGGGTGATCCGAGAGGGCCTGGAAGGGCTGGTGCTAAAGGACGCAAAGGTAAGATGGTCCCAGGCGCTGCCTTCTCCCGTACATAGCCCTCCCTACTGAGCCTTTCCCGCCCTGGCCAGGAGATGGCAGTGGTGGCCTGCGGTGTTTAGGATGGGTGCTGTGGGGCATCTTTCCAGGGTTTGGACAGCTCTGTCTGGATCTAGAAAATGGGTTGCTGTGTCTCCTGTAGTGCTGGAGCCCAAGGGCTCTTCCCTAGAGAGGGATGGGCAGTGGAAGGTCTGATATGTTGTGTGAAGAGTTAAATCCCGCCCTCATGGCGTTTCCATTCTAGTTTGTGGTCTCTCTCTTGCTTCCCCTCAGGGTACATATGAGCCTGGAAAGCGGCATTGGCTGAAAGTGAAGAAAGACTATTTGAATGAGGGGGCCATGGCTGACACCGCTGACCTGGTGGTCCTTGGGGCCTTCTATGGGCAAGGGAGCAAAGGTCAGGGTGGCTCTGGCCTTGGGCAGATACTTCTTTGAAAGGCACCACTCGGTACGGGCTGGCCTTTTACCGGTTTGATTTGCCAGCAAGGCCAGTCATGACTTGCAAAGTTCTGGATCAGCGAGCGGTTCCCAACTTAGCCCATGTCACCTCAGCACAGCGACATCTGAGAGCTAAGGACTTGGGCAGGCAGGGGTCAGACAAGAATAGCCTGTGCTAGCCCAGCACAAAAAAACACCACCAACCAAGGGGTCTGGCAGCCTTCTCCTCAGAGAAAATCTCAATTTCCTGGCTGGAGGGAAAGCTGAGGCCTGAAGAACTAGTACTCTTAGGACCAACTGTGTGTCAGGCACTGTTCATTTCCTTTTAGTCCTCACCAGAGCCCAACAAATTGTGTGATTACCCCTAATTTACTGACGAGGAAATCGGGGCTCGTAAAGGTTAAACTTACACAGAGAGTAAGAGGTAGACCCAAGAGGTGAGCCCGCACTCTGAGGCCAAGGCCCAGGCCCACTGCTCGCCAGCGGGCTGACTTGTGGGCGGGTGAGGCGGGCAGAGAGCTCCCTCCGCCCACAACCCAGTCCTCCCTCCTCCCAGGTGGCATGATGTCCATCTTCCTCATGGGCTGCTACGACCCAAGCAGCCAGAAGTGGTGCACAGTCACCAAGTGTTCGGGAGGCCATGACGACGCGACGCTCGCCCGCCTGCAGAAGGAGCTGGACATGGTGAAGATCAGCAAGGTGGGGAGACCCGCTGGCCCCGGCCTCAGCTGGCCCTGGTCTCAGTCAGGCGCACTTTTGGGACCGCAGGTAGCGTTTATCTGCGTTCATGGGAGCAGTGTTAGGCCTTCAGCGTCTCCAAGCGCCTGCCTACCTTGTGGAAACGGCTGCAGGCCCTCAAGGTCACCCCCTCTCTGGGCAGGGAGGACCCCACGAGCTGAGGGTCAGCCTTCTGTGCTGAGCCACCTTTTCTCACAGTCCCATGACTGGGAGAGGGTGAAGTCTGGTTTTGGCTTGGGAATAACCCAAGACAACATTTTTTTTCCTCCAGGACCCCAGCAAGATACCCAGCTGGCTGAAAATCAACAAGATCTACTATCCCGACTTCATTGTCCCAGACCCGAAGGTATCAACCCAACGGCCTGCGGTCCTTCAGCCCATAGAGGAGGCTTTCAGGTTCTCTAGGGCCGCAGAGATGCCTTCTCAACCTCACTGGCAGTCCACCCAGGGGCAGGGGTCTGGGCTGCGCAGCCAACACCCGAGAAATCCTCCTCACTGGAGAGGGAGAGCCTGCCCGCCCAATCAGAGGTCTGCTCTAGAAGTGACCTGGCCCAGGCCCTGCTCCCAGTAAGAGAAACTGAGGCCAAAGAAGACAGTACTTCAAAGGTCACACACAGCAGCAGCAGCGAGACATGACCCATCCCCCCGCCAGCCAGGGCTTGAGTCCCGTCTGCCTTGCTCCCAGCTGTGGGGGCAGATGCTGCCTCTTACCCGTGAGTGACCCGGCTTCCTCCCGACAGAAAGCCGCCGTGTGGGAGATCACAGGGGCTGAATTCTCCAAATCCGAGGCTCACACTGCCGACGGCATCTCCATCCGGTTCCCTCGCTGCACCCGGATCCGGGATGATAAGGACTGGAAATCTGCCACCAACCTCCCCCAGCTCAAGGTGCCAGCTGCACGTGTGTCCTCCACCCATTATCCCAGCCTTGAGACCGTGGGCATTCGGCCTGTTCCCACGTCCTCTGTTGTCGTCTTCCCATCCTACCGACAGGCCAGGACGGGTAGAAAGGGACACCAGACTGTGGCAGGCCAGGAGCACAGCGCTGGGCACTGGCTGGGTGCTGGGTCCTAGAGCGAAGCTCCTACTCTCACAGCATCCTGCTGAGGGCTTGGCCCCAGGCTCTCTACATTGTTTATCAGAACAGAATAGCACGGTGATTTGTACGGATTACTCAAGGAAACAGAGCCAAAGTTTAGAAAGGTGCCCAGGAAGCCGGCTGCTTTTCCCTAGGGATTTGTCTCTCCCCTGTCTGTTCCCCAGCCACATGTGCCAACAACAGGCTACCAGACCACTCTGAGGCCGTCCTCCCTCCCCTCCTCCGCAGGAACTGTACCAGCTGTCCAAGGAGAGGGCGGACTTCACCGTGGCCGCTGGAGACGAAGGGAACTCCACGTCCGGAGGCAGCAACGGAGAGAGTGAGGGCACGTCGGGGCCTCCTGTGCCTAAGAAGGCCAGACCCTCTCCCAGTCAGGCCTCCCCCAGTGCCAAGAAGGCCGGAGGGAAGCTGCACCACCCCAACAGCAAAAATGGTGAGAAGGGAAGGGCAGTGTGAAGGGACATCAGACAGGACCCAGTCTCCCATTCCAGCTCTCGGGTCCTGTGATTCTTTGTCCAAGCAGCTGACATTAACTGCACTCCTATTGTGTGTCCAACCATGGGCCAGAGTCCATTCAGCTGGGCACCCTCCATTGCTCAGTAAACCTGTGACAGGACCAGGAGAGCCCATCTCTGGGCATTAGCTACCTCTGAGCTCTCCCTTCTCACCCTGCTCATAGCAGAGCAGGCCTGGCCCTGTCTGCTGCCCTGACCTCGGACCACTGTCGACTCCCCTTACCCTCTCCTTAGCTCTTACCCCACGCGCTCTCCTGCAGGCCACAAGCCGGCGGCAAAGCCTTCCCCTGGGAAAGCGGGGGAGAAGCTGGGCACGAAGTCGGCTGTGAAAGTGGGGGAGAAGCGGAAGGCCTCTGATGAGACCCCGTGCCACGCCAAGGTGAGGGTGAGGAGTGCACCAGGGGCTGGTTTGGTCCAGGGCCTCGTGTTCCCAACAACCTGCACTTGAACTTTGAGAGACGAGCAAAGGTGTTTTGGGGACTAATGGCCTAACCCCTCCCCTCCTCAGCTGCTCTACCTGTGCCCTCTCGTTGCCTTGCAGAGGCGGCTGGCCAGGGAGCCGAGAGGAAGGAGAGCTGTGTCTGCAGGCAGGAGGTAGACAGCCCAGCCCAGCCGAGAGGCTGCAGGGACCCACCCGGCTGCTGATCCCAGTCACAGTTGACATTAAAGGGGAGAAAGCCCCGTCTGGGTGTGGGAGTGCAGCGGTGTGAGTTTGTGCTCAGGGCGGGTGCAGGGCCAGCCAGCAAGGAGCGGAGAGGGCACGCATTGGCTTTTCCCCCTTAGAGCTCCCTCAGGTTTTGACTACACCACCACTTACTGAGGCCAGAAACTAGGCTCAACCCTGGGGATGCTGGTGTCCCAAAGGGCAGATAGAGAAGCAAGCCTTTGGTCACTGGAGAGTGTGATCACCCCACCCACACCTGCCAGAAGTCCGGCAGCTCGGGCCCTGACCGAGGCCCCAGCAGACCTGGGGAAGCTTTGCTCTTTCCCTACCTGAAGCCCTTGCATCCACCCACAGCAGTGAGCTGGGCTCCTGGCCCCCGTTCTAGCTATTGGTGCTTGAATGAGCATGTCACTGCCCACCAATCCCTGGATGGTCCTTAGAGACATGGACTTTTCCCTTCAGGCTCCCTGCTGGGCGTCTCCTCCCTTTCCTCTACAGCAAGCATGTCAAACCGTGGCCAGCAGGCCACATGCCTCAAGTTTGATGTGCTTGCTCTGCAGGGATGAAGGAATGGCATGGCCTCAGCCATACATGTGCCGGGTAGCAGGCATAAGACCCCAGCAGGTCTCCACCCCAGTGTTCTCTGAAGTGTCTGGAGGATGGGGGTGTTGACGTCTGTCTTTTCCCCAGTAAACCTTTTCCAGTCATGTCCTGACACTAGCGAGGCTCCCTACATCTCTGCTCCCATTCTAACCCTCCTCTGGCCTATGCTCATCTGAGTGGAGACCCACCTGCCCAGCACAGATGGGCCCCACTTCCGACCCCTTCCTGACCCTGTGCATTTGCAGGTGCAGGTGCTGCTGGACATCTTCACTGGGGTGCGGCTCTACCTGCCACCCTCCACGCCAGACTTCAGCCGGCTCAGGCGCTACTTTGTGGCATTCGATGGGGACCTGGTACAGGAATTTGACATGGCCTCAGCCACACATGTGCTGGGGAGCAGGGACAAGAACCCTGAGGCCCAGCAGGTCTCCCCAGAGTGGATTTGGGCGTGTATCCGGAAACGAAGGCTGGTGGCTCCCTGCTAGGACTGCTGCCTCTCCTCTCCCTTCGGCCGACCCTTCCTGGCCGGGCAGAACCCAGCCGGACAAGGATGGACTTCCTTCTCCAAGCAGCGTGTCTTCCAAAACCCACCCGCCGTGCACAGTCTCCAGCAGGAGTCAGGTGCTCGGGTGCCACCAGCAGTCACTGCCTGCTGGCTGGTGTTGATCTTCCAGATCTAGGTGCTGGTTACTGTCTTTTAGTGTTCTGTAAAAAGGGGCCTTTCTTCCTTTTTAAAATAAAATATCTTGCAGTTATCTCTGCCCTTCCCCCATTGTCACTCCCTGTAAATCCCTAGTGACTAAGGAGTGAAGGCTGGGCTCCCGAAGGTCTTCCTTGCCTGCCCCTTTCACTTCCACGCTCCTTTTAAAGTTCTTTCTTGGACTGCCCTCCCTCAGAAATGCTGCTTATATTTGGCAAAACATGCATTCAGTCTGGCCCTTTTTGCCAGCATTGAAGCCTCATCTGAAAGGAAACAAATTAATTTTATGACTTAGATGTCTGGTTCTCCTGTTACAGGGTGTGGGTCTGCTTTGAACCAGGATCAGGTAGGAGGGGGGGCCTTTATGAAGGAAAGGGAGGTTTGGGGGGCTCCTCTGGGGGAGACAGGCTCCAGGAGGGTCAGCCTCCCCACCATCTGGAACTAAGGCTGCTCTCGAGGATAATCCCAGGGACAAATCTCCACAGCCTGTGCCACCCAAGACCGACTTTTCTGAATAAAAGGGAAACATTTGCAGCAATGGAAAAAAAAATGTGCCTTAGATCTTGACACGAGTTAGCCGCATCAGCTGTTGAGCATTTGAAATGTGGCCGACCCCAACTTGATCACATGTGGTAGTGACTACCACACTGGGTAGTGCAGGGAGACCTGGTTTGAATCCAAGTCCTGATATTTAATAGCTATCACTTTACACACGTTATTCAATATCTGAGCCTCCAAAAGAATGGGGTTAGGAATTGCACCTAAATCGTGGAGTTACTGTAGAGAGTGAATGAACTCGAGGGAAGTTCTGAAAGCACTCAGCGCAGCCTCGCCAAGTTGGGAAAATGGACAATGGCATGCATGTTCAGACCCTGCCCGGGAGAGGCCTGGCTCAGTACTCGCAAAGCCGCCTGTGACGGCTCACATGACCGCATGCAGCTCACAGGTGACACCTGGTCCTACACGCTCCTGTGTTCTCAGGCCTGCTTCGTCTGCGGGTCAGTTCCCTTTTTTCATAGTAAGCTAGCAGGCCTGTGTGTCCTCCCCTGTGAGGGGAAGAGAACTCAACCTCTCGAACTTTTGTCCGGGCCTGTAGGTTGAGAACCACCATCATCCAGCCCTCCTGGTGTGTGCAACGAAGGCAATATATTCTGCAGGAAGGCCATCTTTAACCCAGCTGACCTGGGTCTCCACCTGCTGGTTAAAATGTGTTGGGAGGCGGAAGCAGGAGGGGGAGGTGCTGCCTTGTCTCTGGCTCAGGACATTGGGTGGTTTTGAATAGGCACCATTCAGTCTGGCTTCAGTATTGGGAATAAGACACCCTTTTTATTCTATCTGCAGTGGAGACAAAAGCTGATCCTCTGAGCACTGACCTACATAAATTTCCACCCCCTTCTCCAGCCTCCAGGCCAAACAACTGGACAGGGCAGCAGAACAAGGCACTCCTCCCCTGGAGAATCTGCCAAAGGACATTGCCGCTGCCCTTTGGCCAGAATGACCAGCCCCAGCCCCGCCTGTCCATCCTGGGTGCTTACACTGGGGGTACAGCCTCACAGCCAAGGGTTGTGCTTGCTGGGTGCTCTCTTCCGTTCACTGTTTAAACTGCTTTCCTTTCAGTCTTCCTAATGTGAGACTCTTTTTGAGCTGCTGAGATTATATCATATATACAACTCTGTTTCCTTTCATGTATTTCCATAGACCTTGAGCCTTTGTAAGCTGTTGCTTGGCAGCAGATAGAGGTCATCACAGTGCTCAACGGGTCAGCAGCCCGAACAATGAGGACAAAAGGCTGTGGCTCAGCCTCAAGCCTTTACACACTGGACAAGTCTCAGTCACAGGGCAGAGCTACAAACAACCTCACTCTCCCAAAGGCTGCATTCTCAGGAGACCCCGCCCCTGGACACTTGATCAAGGAGGTGTTTGCAGGCCTGTGTGCACACTGCAGTCTGCCCACAAGGCTGGGCCAACCTCGGGGCCGCTCCAGCTACCACAGCTGTATCCAAAGCCGCCATCCATCCTTCAGGGTCACATGAAGCCTGAACTGGACACACTGGCTGTCCTCAGACTGTTCTACACATCACCTTTTTTAAATTTATTTTTATTGATTTCAGAGAGGAAGGGGGAGGTAGAAACATCAATGATGAGATAATCAATTGGCTCCTCCTGCATGCACTCTACCTACACACACTGTACTGGGGGGATTGAGCCCCCAACGAGGGCATGTGCCCTGACAAGGAATCCAACCATGACCTCCTGGTTCACAGGTCGACTCAAACACTAGGCCATATCGGCCAGGTCGTTCATATATAAAATCTTTAAGGCCCATCTCTTTCCAAATCAGTGGCAATGTTTGAACTCACTGCTTCTTCATATTTGGTCTTATAATTGGTCCTTTTTTCTACCCAGCTCCCATCCTCATCTAGACTGCTCCAGGCTCTCCCTCATGGTAGTGAGCTCTTAAGTCACAACAACACTTAAGCTTCAGTTTCCTTGTCTGTGGAACAGGGCTGTCTTGACCAAAGCCACAGGACATGACCCAAGCATCTCCAACAACAATGCTATCTAAGTGCATACCTGTGTGCACACACCTGGGATTAGCCTGTGGTTGATCAACTCGTGTTGGTCTTAACTATCAGATCTCTGGCAGCCTCACACCAGATTGGACAGGCATCTAGAATGAAACTTTATTACAAAATTAAAAAGCAGAGATCTGTAACAAAAAATACACATTTGGGTTTGTCTTACACCCAAGTCTGAGAGAATCTTAATATAAGCCACTTGAAGTAACACATTTGCATCCAAAAATTTTCAACAAAAATATACAATATTATTGAGCGCTAATTCCTGTACAGCTTATTCTTATTAGCTGGGATCCAAGTATTCAAACATTATGAACCAGTCAGCTCTCGTTTTAAGTCTCAACTGAAGTTTCTCAATCACAGCAAAAGCCAAGAAATAACTGGAAGAATCATGTTCCCATGATAAAATTAAGACCAAAGATCCATGAGGGGCCGGGAGGAGTATTCAAGGATAAAAATCAAGTTTTCTAGCTAGGTTAGATAGTAACTAAAATGGGATCTTGGAATTCCCAACTTTTATTTGGTGTAATAAGATACAAAAAAAAAAAAAAAAAAAAAAAAAAAAAAAATCAGGATTGCTTGACACTATTTTCCTTAAGAGAAAACCGTCACCAAAAGAGGTTAGAAGGCAAAGGCAAGTTCTTTCTCCAAAATGAGTAAATGACATCAGCTCTAATTCTTACTGAGGTTGCAAACCAACCATTACCATAGTATCTTTAACTCACGTTAGGAGGGAAATTGGGAGGCAGGGAGAGGTAAGGCCTGAGCAAGTTTTAAGTAGGAAGAGAACCAGCTTCTACCCTGAAGTTATTGCTAGAGGTTAACTGAGTTGCATATACATAGACCTGCTTCACAATGGAACTGAGTAGATGAATCCTTTGCTAAACTGGTAGGCATTGTAAACTATAGTATTGACTGTCCAGCAAAAAAATGTCTTCATCGGGAAATCTCCATTCCCCCGGTTCCTACAAAGGCTATGGCCCAGAATTAAATCATCCAGGACTTGGTAGAATGTTGAGGTAAGTGGCCCAGTGATTAGATGACAACTACTTGATGAAATTTGGTTTTCCTACAGGGGATTAGTGGTTGATGATGGAGGGGAAAGCCAAGTGTGTCTGAACCAATAAACAGGTCCTCTTGGAGGTTTCCCACTGCTTTCCAGAATTACGATTGGTTCTTATCTTGGCTGCATTGGGGGGAGGGTATCTGCCAAGGCCCTCGGTGTTTAGTGTTTGCATAGATCATCCATTGGTAACGGCAGCACACACAGCTCCTCTGAGAGCATGTCTGCTTGTGCTTGGCTAAGCTGGCCCAACAAACGTTTCTTTAGCCCTTTGGTTCTTCCAGTGCTGTAAAGACCCTAAGAGGGCTCGAGAACACGACCTACTCATTGCATGCTCCTTCCTAAGAGCCCAGAGAATGCTTCTTCCTCATGTACCCCCAAATCAGTACACTGAGAAAGGAAATAGGAGGAAGTCCCCACCAAGCTGGGGAGCTAAGGCTTCCACTGTCTGCTCAGGGCTGAAACAGCCTCTTTCCGTGTCTCTGATACCTGGAGGGGCTCTGTGACTCACAGATTTGGTCCCAGGAACTTATGAGAAGACTGGCTAGAGAAGAGCTAGGTTCTTTGCCTAAGTCTCGATGCCTTGAGTGAAACCATGTTCAAATCTTGTGGGAAAGAGATTTTCACAGGGGCAAGGGGCTTAGAACTATCTGTTGGAGAAGTCAAAGTTAAGCAAAAAAAAACTTTGATTCCACCACACACTCTCCCTTTCCTCCAACTAAAATGAAGGATGGTGCTAAGTCGGGCCCCAAGAGAAGCAGAGATGATCCAGGCGCCATCTCACAGACACTGGAACTTCCCAGCAGTTTGGGAACCAGATGCTTCGCTGGCGCCCAAGGTCAGGTTGGGAGACTGACAGCTAATCCCAGCACTGAAGGTAGCAGCTCTTAATGACTTGGAAGGTTTTCAATAGCATTTGTGTTTCATTTTTTACCAGAGAGAAGTTGACTGGTCCAAATTCTGTCCTAGGGAGAATCATTATCGGTCTAGTAAGCTAACATCTTTTTGGTCTGAGGAAACAAATGGATTTTAGGCAATGTAGCAAGAAACTTTAGCAAAGGCAGGTTAAAAGCAGAGGAAGCCAGTGAAACCAGAAATAAATCCAAATGTGCTGGGGAGGAAGAGAACCATTTCTACCAGGACTTCTGATTGGTGAAACACAGCCAGCAGCTTAGGGGATGGGGTATAGGAGGAAGGCGGGAAGGTACGATACGGTCCAAGTTCCGGAAAGTCCTCTCTCCATCAGTTTCCATCACCCAAGATCATTGAAACAGGGACTTGCCCAAGCGATCTACACGTTCTCACTGCCGCAGGCTCTGCCAGCCCAGAGGTGCACCTCCTGGCAGGACAGGCATGCGCCGAGGTGACGGCATCTTTGCTCGCCCTGGTCTTGGGAACACTGCAGGTTTTCTTGTCAGCCTGCCCCTCTGCAGCTGCCGACCCTGAGCCCAGAAACCTCGCACTGTGTCCCTGTAAGGCACTGGAGAAGCCGGTACCAAGCCCTCAGGACCGGAAGACGTGCACGGCTCGGATCACGTACTGCCGACAGATGGGACACTCGTTCATGCGCTTGCCGCACTTGGTACAGGTGACCATGTGGCCACACTCCAGCAGGACACAGTCAATGGGCGAGTCCATGCAGATCCTGCACAGGTTCTCTTCCTGGCTGGGTGGCACCGCTCCCCCTGTACAAACACAGGGCGGGAGAGGGCACAGTGAGTGTGTGGAGGTGGGAGAGCACGGGCACACTATGAACAAACCCCTCAGGCCACACACCTCCCCTCGGCCAGGACCCCAAGGAAATGCTCCTCCAGTAACTAGTTCAGTTGCTCTAAGCCGCCTCCACAGACCAGGTTTTAGATTTGAAGAACAAAGTATCTGTAGATCAAATGCCCCCCCAGAACATGAGAACTAAATAAGCCAAGTCCTCAAAGCTCAAAAGAAATCATTTTCAGACAATTGCTGCTGTGATACAGAGAGTGAATGGCACTTAGGGACTCATTATCCCCTGAGGCAGAACATGCTGAAAAGATAAAAAGTGGTTCAGAGAAGTTTAGGTATAAATGCCACTGTAATGAGTGATTAAGGATCGTGAGGCTTACCTGTAAACGTATCCTCAATTTAATAAAGCCAAAGACGGGGGGGGGGGGGGGGGGGGCCTTTATGCTATCTCACACTCTCCCCTGCCTCCCAGGCGTCCTCAGAAACTTCCTTGAACATGAGCCCAACAGATTATGCAGGTCCCTCTCTGTGCTGCACCCACAGGACTGCATGCGTACCTCCAGGAATGCTCAGCACACTGGGTTAGAATGTCTGAATTGGCCTATTTCTCTCTCCCACTATACTATGAGTTCCTTAATCCAACAAACTCATTCCATTTCCACAGTTGCATACTTAGCATTTGCTAAGTGCTCTGAGGTCAGGTATTCATCTTTGAATCCCAAAAACGCCAGTCACGTGGTAGGTGTTCTCAAAACGTCTAATAAATTAACATCTCCCCAGGGAATAACAGCTCACACTTACGAAATGTGTGCAGGGACCAGACAAGGAAGGTCCTGAGAGCTTTGCATATTTTAACTCATTGAATCCTCACAAAACTACGAAGTACCTTCTCTTACTACTCATGTTAAATATGAAGCAACTGAGGCCAAAGAGTTATGTGGCCTGCCCAAGGCACACATCTGCTAATTCAGATCCCAGGGGGCCTTCTGGGCAGTGGCCTAAGGGCAGGGACTACCAAGATGGTACTAAATGCTCAGTGCATAGAGTTCCTGACAGCTCACCCTCTTATCTGAGTGGTGAGATACAGGGGCCAGTATCCTAGTTTAGCTGCACAAACTGAAATATAGTGGCAACCATATTTTGGTAAAAACTGCTGTTTGAATTTCAACCCTTTTAGTTTGGCCCCTGCATCTGATTAAAACACAGGGTACTTACCTCAGCTTCCAGGTGAAGACCTGGAGGCTAAGGCAATTTTCCCTTGCCTGGGACCAGGACCATAGGAGATTGATTCCCACTGACTCAGTAGCTTCAGGGATAGAAACTGTAGATAACCTTTGGAGACTAACCGCTGAGCTCTGCTTCTGTGTTATCGCCATCGCAAGATAGGGCCACATTCCAATGTCCAGCAGGATGTGACTGGGAACCAACCCTGCAGGCTGTCTCCAGTCTTTAGTATTTAGTCTTTAGGATTTTAGGAACAAAAGGAAAATTCTTGCAGTTTAAACCTTTAAAAGGAATTGCCTACCCCTGAAACGGTGCAGTCATTTGGAGCCCACCTGCGTGTGGTGCTCTTGTGGCTGTCCTGGCCAGTTCAATAAATCCTTGCTTGCTTTTTTTAATTAACCAGCCTCCGGTGGTCTTATTTTGAACCCAGGGTTCGACCCCACAACAAAACAGAAAAACCTTCATGTCCAAAACCCCAGACACCCCAGCCAGGTAGCCTGGACAAGGTAGCCATAAATAGGGAACTGGAATGTATCAGTCACCTCTACCATTCCCAAATGTCACCTCCCCCACCCACACCTTCCCCCATCCCTACCCCTCGGGGGCTCTGTTGCTTCTGCACTTTCTTTTCCTATTTCCTGAACTATTCAAAAAGTCAGGAAACCCCCGCGGTGGACTGGCCGTGAAAGATTATGAGACCTGCTCACCCCTTTGAGGAGCCATTAGCCCTAACCAGGAAGGTTTGGAAAGGGCTGAACTGCACAAAGGCCTAAAGTGAGCAGGAATGACTGACAGAATGGCATCCCTCATCACTTCTCTCAGGAATAACAATAAACTCACCAATTCAGTTGCCACATTCTCTCAGGAAAAGAAAGGAAGATGCCGAGAGTATCAGCATGATCGTGGCACCAGGGCGAGGGAGTAAATCTAGACCCCCAAACGGTTTGGGGGAACTGAAGAGAGCTCAACTCTTGCTAAGTTATCAGCCAGAAGACTCTGGCCCAATTTAAACAAAAGGCCATTTTACTAAGTAATAATTCGGAGTCTTCTGAAAGTTTCAAAATGCTCTGCAGTCTCTTACACCATTCTAAGAATGTTCTCTCTTGGGGAGGAGCTCAACCATAGAGCCTTGAGGCTTTCACAAAGGTATACCAGAGCGTTTCAGAATGATGCCAAATCCCCTCAGATTCCCGCGGTGCACTCTGGGAGTACCCAGAGGCTGGGGCGGTCTTTAACACACAGGTGGATGTGTGGCAGCTGAGGTGGGATATGCATCTTGCGCCTACAGAGCGCCGTGTGACACCTGCCTGATCTGTCCCCAGGGCAGCTCAAGCCACTGCCCAGCCCTGGACAAACCGGGCTCTCTCAGATCACCACCTTTCTTGTTGGTACGGAAACTGTTAACCAACCCCAGTGATTTCCCTGAAGATGAGAACGGAGTGCAGGGGAAGGTGTGCCTTCGTACTAAGAGAGTAAAAATGAACCGAAAGTGGCACATGCCACCACTCACTTTGGTAAGTATTTCACAAATGCTGGCTCTGAGCTCTGGTAGCCCACAGCTGTGCCAATCAGTCTCCCCCCATTATGCTGCCCTGGGAATTTCGAAAGATACTGAGAAGCCCTGGCTCTCAGAGAATTTCCTCACACCCTCTGTCCAGATGTTGGCATGCTCAGACTTCTACTGGGGCTGAAGAAGGGGAAGGAAAGCAGAGCTAAGGGCATGAGCCATTTCCAAACAGAAGCAAATACATACCATTTTGGTCTTCGGCACCACACACTGAAAAGGAAAGAGAAAGAAGACATCTGAATGTGTATGTGATGATCCCAGGAAAGCCTCCAACCTCCCTGACTTCATTTCTGATCTCTGCTCTTTCCCTGCTGGGAACCAGGGTGGCGAGAACCCAGAGAAACACCCCCTGCCCATCACTGCGCACGCTGAGGACTCAGAACGCTCCTGCTGGTGTGTCTGGTCTCAGAATAGGGCGCTCTGCTGGTTTGCATGGACAAAACTGCCTAAGCACAATACCTGTTCTTAGTGCCTTTTTTTAAAATATATTTTTTATTGATTTCAGAGAAGAAGGGAGAGGGAGAGAGAGATAGAAACACCAATGATGAGAATCATTGATCGGCCGCCTCCAGCACACCCCCTACTGGGGATCAAGCCCGCAACTGGAACTCTTGACCAGAATCAAACCCAGGACCCTTCAGTCCGCAGGCTGACCTCTATCCATTGAGCCAAACGGCGAGGGCCCATTCTTATTGCTTTTACAGCTAGCATTAAGTCAGGGAAGAAGGTACAGTCTGTTTCCGTCAGCCAGGGCATCCTGATCATGTTCCCATCGGAAGTTCCCATCTCCTGTTCTCTATGTCCTTACAATGCTAGGGCGATTCTTGGGGTCAGTCCCAAAGGGAAGAATGAACCTGATCAGGTGAATGGCCAGACGTCCCCTAACTCTGATGAATTTGAACTCCTGGGAGAGGAGAGCCTGAAATCTGACTTCAAGCACTGTTAGCATGCAAGGAATGGAAATGTTGATGGGCAGGAACTAAATCAGTTGGGAAGGGGAGGGAAGAGAGAGGAAGGGGAGAAGGCTCTAAGTGAGATCATGTCAGGAAATGCAGAGTTCAAAACAGCTAAACACGTTTCTCTTCTGCAGGACTTTCTGCCTTTACTAGTAAAGTATCTACCACGAATCAGCAACGGAGGGTCGGGGGAGAGCGGGGGAGAGTCATAGCAGAAAGTATTTTTCCGAACTCATGTGATCACAGACCTAGATACTTTACTGGAAGTTACCTGAACATGATACCATGTAGAATGATTGGGGAAATGAGTAAAAGGAAAAGCCCAGATACTGGTATAACAGTTCTTTACACAGTATGCGCAAGGATTTGCTTTCTAATCTCCCTCCTGCTTAAGTGCTGTTGGAGGTAGTCGTGGGTGTGGTGGGGGTGACATACAGAGGGGAAAGGCCATGAACTTAGACCAGGAAATTCTCAATTCCAATCTGGCTCTAAAATAGAAAAGGGATGAATAATGCCTATGTCATAGGGTGTTCTGGGAATTAAATAAATGTACACAACGCCTAACCCAGTCCTGGCACTCAACTCCAAGTGACAGCTATTATTAGATGAGGCAAACGTGTGACGGGACCCCTTCCTTGGAAGATGCTGTTATGCTGTGAGTGACAGCTGCCGCTCAGTCCCTCACCCAGGTGCTGGAGGCCTTTCTGGTCCTTGTACAGCCGCGTCACCCTCTCCATCAGCTCCCACTTCTCACAGCAGCCCTTGTAGTTGACGAAGTTACGAGCCAGGATCTCCTTCAGCTGCCGCACGTTGAGACCTTCAATGTCTTCCAGGTCTGTCAGGTCGGACAAAGAAGCCCTCCGGCCAGGGACGAAGCTGTCCTCTGAGTCGACGGACTACACAGGCAGAGATGAGACGGGTGGGCTAGGCTCTAAACTCCTCCGGCCCCCTCTCCAAGGACCCGAGCACTCCCACACCGGCATCTGGTGGCTGCCCTCAGGAGCGGGAGCAGAGGCAGGGAGAGTGCCTGGCACAGCCCTTTGCACTGAAAAAGACCAGCCCCTGCCTGGCCCACACTGTGCTCAGGCCCAACAGCCACAAACCCAGCGGTGTGTGTGAGAGGAGCAGCACCGATTTGAGTCTGATGACCCTGACTTTGAGTCCTGACTCTCCACTGACTAATGCTCAGTAATATGAGGCGAACTGCTCCTCTCCCAGCCTGCCTGCCTGCCCCCGCACGAAGGGAGAGCAGAGCCTGCACACTGGGCTCCTGTGAAGATTAAATGTGGCAGCACAGGAAGCCTCCGTGCATGGTGCTGGCCTTTCTCTCTCCCCGCTGCAGAGATGTCTGCTTTCCCACAGAAGAGAGACTTCCCTGGCGAGCGCTCCTCTGGAGACAGCCTTGACCATAACTCCATGGCCCTAACGGCTGAGCCCTCTGCACTAGCCCCGCCATAGCGGAGGCCGGCCTCCCTCTCAGCTTCCCTCCTGATTATCTGACCTCCTTCCCCTGACAATGGCCACTGTGTGCTCGAAGCAGAACAACAATGAGGTCTGCGCAGCAGCTCCAGGAGCCTGCGCCCTGGCAGCTCTCAGAAAGTCAAGGGACTGGAAACGAATGGGCCACGCGGCTCCCCAGTCTCCGCTGTGACCTCACAACTCCGCACTAACGTTCTGCTAGTCCCGAAGGAACATTAGACCAAACCCCACCCCTGGCACAGAATCAGGACTATCAGACGGCTTCTCTTCCCCACCTCAGGATCTGTGGAGAGATTCCTAATAAAGCCCAAGATCACGAGGAAAGGGCAAAGCCAAGACCCAGACCCACACCGAGCAGAGGCCCACCTGCGTCTCATCCTCAGCAGGCACCCTGGCTGTGCTCTCCGGGTGGATGGGTTCTTCTTGGTCCTGAGACACGTGGCCATTGGCCTGTGGGAAGAGAAAGGAGCCATCATATCCGCAGAGATGGCCCAGGGATTAGCAGCTCTGACCTGTCCTGAGCTCACACCATGTCCCGTGACTCCCACCTGGCACAACAGCGTGACAAAAGCTGCTCTCTCATACTGACCTGGTTAAGCAGAGAGCCAGAGTGCATGAATTCTGCCCACTGCAGGATGGCATTAGCTCACTCATCGCTGATGCTCCTTCAACACTCCAGTGGATGGAAGGTCCGGTGTCCACTGCAGGAGGCTGCTCGCTAACTGCCACTGATCGTTTCTTGCCACTGACCCCAAACTGCTCTTTCTATAACATCCACCCCCTCCATCCTTGGTTTGCCCCTCAGACAAATGTCTACTGCCTTCTTCAAACTGTTCACAGCATGTCTCTCCTTCCTCAATGCTAAATCCCCAACTGAAACAGTTTCCGGACCCTCACCACCTTACTTCTTCTCTTCTGGCCCATCACCGCTCTCATACTCTGGAAATGGGGTCCAACTATGTAAGACAAATACCTATGCTTAAAATATTTCACTCTGCTTAGAATTCTAACCCCTCAAACAGTTCTATCTAGGTACTTCTTCAGGATTTGCCAAAAAGTACTCAGAACTATGAGGCTCTTAATCCCATCACCATTTAAGCCACAAGTCCCTAAACTAGATCCTTTTCACCCACTACTCCCTCCAGGCAAAGCCTTCTGTGAGCCCAGAGCAAAGAGGTATCTGAGCCCACAGGCCTTTCCCGGTAGTGAGGCACCAGCAAAGGGACAACCTAGAAAACCAGCCACTCATTCCCGATCAGGATCCGTACATGGAGCTAATTAAGAAGAGGCAAGCAACTATAGCAAGAATGAAAAGTAGAAATCACCACCACCACCAAAAAGGACAAGAGAGAATAAGATCACGTGTGTAGCAGAACAGGTACTGGGAGGCACCCGAAACCACGTCTTATCACCATCTCTCGTTTTCTCTCAGCTTCATATAGAGGTGGCACGGGCTGGCCTCCTGGTGTCACCTGGGAGTTACACAGCAATCTTTCAGAGCCTAACCTGTTTCTAAACAGGCAGCTTTTGTCCATTTTTTTCTTGGAAAGAGAAACTGGATCTCATACTGCAAAGCATATTGCCTTTACCCACTGGCTAAATCAAAATCTACAACCAGCATCTGTCCAGTTTTGCTTACGCCACACACTCCCTTCCCTAGCAACGGCTGCCAGGGCACTAAAGGAAAGGAAAGAACCCGGTGCAGCAAGCACTGCGAGATTTGCACGCTAGGTGCAGCTCACTGTGAAACTGTCAGGTGGCCTTACACAAGTTACTTGACTTCCCTTATGTGTGTTTTTCTGGCTTGCAAAATGTAGCTCTCACCAGAACAGGGGACGTGAGCTGACGCGAAGGCCCTCTGAAAACATGGGAGATCAGAGAAGTGCCCGATTAGGTCTGGCACATACTGTAAGCTAGAGGTGCATCTGTAAATTTCCAGTTAATGACAGGAAGCTTAAAACTTATTCCTTTCCTTGAAAAACCCTCCTGGAGGCTCTTTGGGGGAAACAAGGTGCTCTCCTAGCTCCCCCTAAACAGAGAGGAGTGCTTAGGCAGGGCACAGGGAGGAAGTCGCAGCAGGGGGTAAAACCTGCCCAGCAAAGTGAGAGTTAAACTCCAGCAGGGTGAAAGCATGCTCAGCCAACAGGGAGGGAGGGAGTTTACTGCGGGGGGGGGGGGGGGGGGGGGGGGGGGGGAGTATACTATCACACTGGCCTTTGGGCCTCAGTGCCCCTCAGATCAGAACCGGGAGAGATCTGACAAAAGAGGAGATTGTCAGCGGGCGGCAGCCATCCACTCCCGGGGAGGCGGGGCGGGGAGGGGGCCGGGGAGTGGAGGCTGTGGTGAGTACTGTGCCAGCTCTAAGTTGCTCAAAGCTCTTTGGACGTGACATCACACTAGTTGATCCTCCCACCATCTGGCAAGAACGAAAGTGGCCTGGGATTAACCTCATCTCACTGTTAAAGGCTCAAAGTTCACCTGGGGTGACCACAGCTCAGTGACACATTGGGTGTGGAACCTGGGCGGATCTTCTAGTCTCCCACTAAGGCACTTAATCTCACCTACAGGACACCGTCACTCCTTACACAGTGGTCAAGTCCACCCGCCTCACTCTTATCCCAGTTAGGCTGCGTGCCTACCTTCCCTCTTAGAGAGGCTTTCTGAGGGCAGAGACCATGCATTACTCATTCTGTACCTCCCCTGCCTGTTCAGAACTCCGTCTATGTGCTGCTCTTAGCTCACCATTCCATGGCCCCCCTGGGATGGTGTAGGCAGCGTCTTGTTCATCCTCTGCCCACCACCCCTGCCCAGTGACAGGCCAGAGAAGCAGTGCCCTTGTCTTGGCCTGTGTTCCCTGCTCTCCCTTCCTTCTCATGTTCCTTTCTTTCCTATGTGCCTTGGGATGGTTACAAAGGACCCAGCTCCCCACCCAGCTAAGAAAGCCCACAATAAAGGTGAGTCTGTGGGATGGCAATTAGAACAGAACTAAATTTGGAAAGTTAACTGAGTTTTCTCAAGTGTTTCTGGAACAATAAACTTTTTTAATGTCTGAGATATATGTGTATTAAAAAAACACCAAAAACCTGGGACTGTGCGTTATCACCTCTGGAAAAAGCCAAAGCCTGAGTGTGGTGGTGTCAAGGAAATACCACTCATGCATCAGTAGACAGCAAGGTTTCACATCATCAAGACACTTAAGCTCCCACCCCACTCCCACAAGCAGGCAGCAGGGGAAGTGGGCCCTCCAACCGGCAGACTGCAAACGGGCCGTACCTGCTGATTTTCCTGAGCCTGGGCGGGGGGGACAGAAGTGGCTTGTGAGGGTGAGGAATGGAGGCTGGGTGAGGTAGGAGGTATTGTGCTGGCATGAGGCTGGGTCAGGAAGGCCTGCTGCTCAGGGAAGTCCGGGGAAAAGGTGGGGGCACGAGTCCTGGCCTCCTGGGAGATTACAGGCTGCTGGCCAAGCACCAAGAGCACCAGCTCCTCCTTTTCCCGGCACATTTCGGTAGAGATGTCATGGAGGTTGAGATAGTCCCGCAGATCCTTCACCTTCATCTTCATGAGCTCCTCCCGCTGAAAGGCTGTTGCTCGGAATCGTTGGCAGAGAAGGCAGAGGCGGGGCCCATTTCCCACTTGGCTTGAACAGGTCATGCAGAAATTTTTCTTACAGTCCAGGCAGGTCTGCTGCTTAGAGCAAGAGGCAGAGGAAACCGTAACGTGAAGATTTCAGGTTAGAAGTATTCAGATTGCAAGCCCTCTGTATGCATCTGTGTATTCATGTATAGGACACTACATTTATTATCCCATGTGGGCTTTATTTATTTTATTGAAATAAAGGCTGTTAAGACTACCAGGTTTAAAATTAAAAAATCCCTACATTTTGCCCTGACAGGTGTTCCTTAGTTGGGTGTCATCCCATGCACAGAGATTGGGTTCAATTTCCAGTTAGGGCACATGCCAGGGTTGTGGACTCGATCCCAGTAGGGGGTGTGCAGGAGGCAGCTAATTGATGTTTTTCTCACATCGATGTTTCTTCTCCCTTCCTCTCTCTCTAAAAAAAAAAAAAAAAAAAAAAAAAAAATCAATAAACTATTCTTTAAAAATAAAAATCCCTACATTTTTATTGTCTCCCTCCTCCATTTCTTGTGGTGTCACCTTGGGTGTGTAACTTAGCTTCTCTGGCCCTCATCAGAAAAATGGGGGTGGTAACAGAATCTAAATGTATCAAGGTTGTGGTGGTGGTTATTACTACTATCAGTCATTAAATTCACTGAGGGCCACTATATGCGAGAGCTACACCCAGCTTGTCATTTAAATCTCAAAGCAACCCTGCAAAGTAGGTATTCATATACCTCCGTGTTTCACAGACAAAGTAACTGAGGCCTAGAGTTATAAGTATCATATTCACGGGCAGGCAGCCAGCAGCAGAGCCAGGATTCATACTCAAGGTCTGTCTGAGCTTGATGCCCACAATCATGCTCTTTCCCACCAGGCCATGTTGCCTAACTCAGTCCCATTCAGGCTGACAGCGGTACTGGTTCAAGAGCCTGGCTCTCCATCTCCAAACCCCCAACCCAGTGCCCCACCCAGAGGCTGGTCCCCAGGCTCCCCCAGCCCAGGAAGGCCCACTCAGAGCGCTGGGAATTCAGTGGGGAAGAGAGCACATCCAAGACAAATATTTAGATAGCTATAGGAGGCCCTCTGGACGTGATTTAGGGAGCTCTCATTGGTGAAAGTACAGAGTGTCTCAGAGGGCAACACGAAGGCCTGGCAGGCAAGCTGGTACTGCCTGGCAGCAGCAACTCCCGCAATCACAAACAACACAATACATGAAGGCTTGCTCAACTCACAGGAAGCAAATCCTCAGCCTCTTGCCCCACAGGCTGAGCGAGCACAGTGACATCTGACTGAGCTGCTGCAGCCAGGAGTGGGTCCACTCCCCAGGAGAGTAACTCCTGGGCACACTGTGATGATACTAAAGGGCACTCTCACTCACCATTTACAGAAATAAAAACCTTTTCATCCTGTGGTGACTTAAGTATTAACCTCAACATTTCTGCTCCCTCTTTTCTATTCAAGCCAACAAGAACGCACAAGAGATTTAGATTCTCACAGGCAAAATCACGACACTTGAGTGGGGCTGAAGCGCAAGTCTGCACAGTGAGACAGCTATATTTAGTCTTGTCCAAGGGTCATTCATGCAGTGAGGGGAGGCGGGCATGTTTACCACCCAGTTTGACTATAAATACTTAGAAGGCATTGCAAAAGGGTACAGATCAAGTTCCCCATTCTCCACACAGAACCAGACCGTAAAATGTTCAAAACTGGCTTCAAAGAACGCAAGGCTGCACTCGCTTCCTAATGGCCTGGGGCCAATAGCAGCTCAGGTGGAAAACGGACACCTTGGAGTTTGGGGGTTCGTTCCCACCAGAAGCTTTGCTATTGGGGAAAAAATGTGTTAGGATAGCTGACAGTGAAATGAAGAGGCTTCAATGTCACAACGCTGTAGGTCCTGACAGGGACCATTACTTGTCAATGCGGTTTGACAAGACCTAGCTTGACACAATTAAAAAGCCCTGAGTTGCTCAATCAGCCAACTACTCTCCAACAGGGACTCTGAAGTCAGCCTGCATCTGAAACATACCCTGAAGGAGAAAGAGAGCTCGAGGCTAAAATCCCAATTTGCAAAGGCAGGAGAAAAAGGGAAGGAAAACACAGCTGGCCAACAAATGTGGGCAGAATGAGCCAAAGAATCATGCTCGTATGAATTCTAGCAAATGGAGCAAACCAACTGAGTAACAAGGTAGGATGGAAGATGAGTTGGTGGAGCCAACGTGCCTGCATAAATGCCAAGAGAACACACACATCCAGCATTTAAAACGCCGGCAGTGGAACCTCGGCAGACACTGCCCTTCATGGATGCCAGAGGAGACGCCCTCCTTTGTAACCCGCCCCTCACTTATTCCTCCTCCTCCCACCACTCATATTCCCTGGCACTTTCTCACCCTCCCAGGCCCTCCTCCTCATGGCCTTTCCTAGAGATAGGCATTCATTGCTGCATCCCCCTGAGAGGGAAAAGGGCAGCCAGAGGGACACACTCAGGTAAGTCCTGGCTGTCCACTTGCTAGCTAAGGAAGACAGAAAACCTCCCTCACCTGAGAAGTCAGGTGGTCTGTCGGCCTCCGGACTACTGGAGGTATCACCTGAGACTGTGTATATTAAGCCTTAGCATTAGGCGGTACGGTACTCACAAACAGGTCCCTTTTGGCCTCATCTCTGAGCTTTTGCAATACCCAGGAACCCAGCCCCTCTCTTTCTACTCTGAGATTTGAATACCTCATCCATGTTTCCAAACACAAACTCGTCTTCCTCCTCAAACTGATCCAACTAAAGAGGCTGAATGCCAAACTTGCTATAGAATTGTCAGAGCTGCTAATACCGGTAGGTATTATATTAGCCATGCAGATGGGATATTTGGCTTGTGGCAGAAACAGCCTGCCATTTCTCTACAAGACTGGAAACTCTGGGAAGGCAGGAGATTCATCTTTCTTAGGTTCTCTTTGTGAAATCCTTAATGTTATCTGTGCTTTGTACCGAATGAGCATTCAGAAAATACCGCGTGAAGAAAAGAAAGGTAGTAGGATCCATGTACTCATTTCAATTCAACCACTTCAGACAAGACATTTAAAAAGCCCATGGCTGTTAAAGGCCAAACCCTTCTGATAAGAATGTTGATCCACTTAAGCATGAAATTACAAATGAAAATGTCTAATTGGAGAAAACATCCTTAATATTCACAAAATTCACTGTGAATCACACAAAATTATTTCTTACTTTTGTAACAAGAAAATATCCAAACTGGAACTTGCCTTCTCCCGACCCCCCACAAAAGTATTCCTGTTTCTGCTTCCTATCTTCTTTGTATGGCTATGTGTTTGCCCCCACCTCCCGGCAGACTGCAAGCTCTCTGTTAGGCAGGCATGACTGACTTCATCTCTGCCTGAGACACAATAGATATTCAATCATTTATTTTTCCAATAAATAGGGGGGGGGGTTCCTTATTTTGATCATTTTTGATGCTCCTAGGCACACTGGCCATCATCTTCAAATTTACCTTCTTCCCCTACATTTCACCTGTCTTCATATTCAAGTATAATAGCTTAGTGTCTGGGTCTCCTATTTTTCATCTGTAAAATGGGTTAAACAAGTACTACTTCACAGAGAATGGCATGAAGAGGTGCTCACTAAATGAGCTATATGACCAGTCTCAGCCACCACCCTAGACAGCCTCGGATCCCTTCTCTCCAGGTTCCAGTAGGCAAAAGCTCCCCAAGTGCTACACCTGTCACTAGTGAAGCCATGTCTGCTACCTGAAACAGGACTGACCAGGTCTTCCTTTGTGTAACGTTCTCCTGATGGCTCCAAGCTCCTTACTAAGGCAGTCATGGCCCTTCACCACCTGATCCCACCCCTTCATTCTTCCCTAACTTCCCAAATACCCTGCACGCCGGCCAAACAGGCCACTCACAATTCCCAAATACACCTTGCACTTGGCCCACACCAGTACCTTCACTTCAGCCACTGCTCTGCAAATCAATAAACCTTCCTGGAATTACAGCTAGCATGACCAACTTACCAGCAATGCCTGATTGCCAGCACTAACTTATTACTCAGCTGACTGCCAGCAGTTTCTTTGCACACGTAGGACTCCTTAATCAGAAAGGAAGTGCCTGAGGGAAAGGCCTAGGTCTCTCTCTCCTCTCACCTCTATCTCCACAATTAGACCTCTGGCAGCTAGCAGGCTGCCAGTACTAGATGGGCCCTCGATGAAAATGATCAGCATGGAATTGTCAGCCACAAAGCAATGGACGTAGAAACTCTCCGGTCTACTTTCTCTTTTTCAGATTGTTCCCACCTCAATTGTCCATTATTTACTTAAATTTTTTACTGCCTAACCACTATGTGGCGGTCACCGTTCTAAGCACTGGGGATAAAAGGTTGTGAACAGCCGAAACTGGTTTGGCTCAGCGGTAGAGTGTCGGCCTGCGGACTGAAAGGTCCCAGGTTCGATTCCGGTCAAGGCCATGTACATTGGTTGCGGGCACATCCCCGGTAGGGGGTGTGCAAGGGGCAGCTGGTCGATGTTTCTCTCTCATTGACGTTTCTAGCTCTCTCTCTCTCTCTCTCCCTTCCTCTCTGGAAAAAAAGAAAAAAACAACTCAATAAAATAAAATTAAATTAAAAAAACAAAAGGCTGTGAACAAAGTGGATAAGATCTCTGTTCCTATGTACCATCTAAGACATGCAACCCACAAATATATTTATGTCAGGCGGTGATAACCACTATAAAGAAAAATAAAACGTCTTCCCTTCCTCACCCAATCATCGTTCTCCGGTCTCTGAGGGAGCTTTCCTGACTCATTCTCGTTCTCCATCTTGCTGAGAAATGTCAAGAACCCGTTAGATCCCCTGGTTCTCCCAAGGTTTAAACATGCTTGACATATTGAACCCCCAAGCCTGGAACACCATCACTGTCCTGTGCTCTTTCTCTCTCCATTTTCCCTTCATAAAATATATTAAGAAGGTGGTCACAATCTCCCACAGATACTGAGAAACTGTAGTTAAATTTGGGGAAAGTCAAAAGCTATACATGTATCTAGGGAGGGAAGGGTTGTCAGCACTCCTAACCCCCACATTGTTCAAAGGCCAAATGTAAGTGTGTGTGTGTGTGTGTGTGTGTGTGTGTGTATAGATAGATAGATAGATAGATAGATAGATAGATAGATACAGATAGCTATATATAGATATCTATACTAATAACAGGGTGATATAAAAATTGATCAGGACGCTGTCACAGTAATGACCCATCAGCAGGCTGCTGCTCAGCAGGTGCGGGTGGGCGGGGACTTGCAGTGTCGGGGACGGGGTGGGGCCGCAGCAGAGAGTCCTCTCTGGCTGGGGGTCTGCAGGCGTGTGGAGGTCCACAGGCCTCCACTGCGGACTACCCCTGGCTCCGGTCTACCTCTTAGGGGCAATCCATCGAGGAGCCCCGGATGGGTGGGGGGGACCTACCTCTTTGGGGCAATGGATCAAGGGGCTCCTGCACTGTGACAGGGCACAGGCCAGGCTGGAGACCCCTACCCCTGCCTCGAGTGCATCAGTTTTGTGCACCGGGTCACAGTAGATAGATATATAACAGCAATGTGGAGGTAACTACCAAAGAACCAACTCAAAGAACTGAAAGTCGCTGCCTCTGAGAAGAGTGAAATGAGGAGAAGGGGGGTTCTACTGTTTGTAACAAATTTTTTGAAAATTTGAATCTAAGTTATATACTTCTGAAACTGTAATAATTTTTTAAATTGTTGAATAACAATAAAAGGTTATACACTACCAGGTTAAAAAAAAAAAAAAAAAAAGGTTCAAATAAGCCTACTGCAAATTCACGCTGCTCATTTACACAAGGGTTTTCCCGATTCCTTCTTGCCGATTACTCTGCCACTTGTATCAGCAGTTGTTCCTGACAGTCCTCACGGTAACACTGGGAGAACAGCAGCTCTGGCTACCAACAGTTCCTTGATGTACCTGAGGAGTCCTTGGAACTACCACCTTAGATAAAGAGAACAATTTCTTCATCTGTAAAATGGGAATAAGTAACAGTACAGATTTCATAAGTTTTTGTAAGGAACCAATGAAGGTAAGGCATTTGAAATGCCAAACTCAGCACCAGGCATGTGATGAATACCCAATAGTCCTCCTTCCATCTCATCTCAGATCCTAACTCTGCTCACCGTCTCCATCACTGAGAAGACTGAGGCCACGTGGCACTGAGTTCCTTCTATTCTCCACTTCGGTCTCAATCTATTGACTCAACCTTCCGTCTAAGTATAAAAGGAGGGACACCTCTGCCCACCAAGCCGCGGCTCCCTGACCGCCTGCAGCAGCCTCTCTGGCTGAGTTCTTGGGTAGCTGAGCAAATCACAATAAAACTCTGCCATGTGCCCGCCTTTGCTGCATTACAGTGAAGTGCAGGCAAAATACAACCTACAAGGTAAAACGCTAATCCTCCACCATTTACAGACAAAAAGGGCAGGTAGGTCAACACTTCAAGCTCCATTCCAAGCTGCAGATGTTCTGACATGTTGAATGTTTTCTGAGAGACAGCTTGAGGGTCAGAGTCAGTTTGAATCCTGACTCTGCCATTAATAACTATGTGACCTTGGGGTTCTACCTAAGGAGGGAAGAGAAGCAGTATTTTAATGTCTCTTCTGCTATTTGTCCGGAACTTCACATAGTTTCCTTTTAACTGTTAAACTCCAAGCCTTAGTTTCTCATAAAATGCGAGTTTAGGTACCCTAAAGCTTACATCATAGATTTATTGTGAGGATTAAATAAAACAAATTGAAATTGCTTAAAAACAGTCCTGGCATACAGCAGATGGTTTTAAAAAAGGTTTCTTCCTCTCAATTTTCCTATCAACACCATTTTAACATCCCATTCTGGGTTACAAACCTCTCCTTCTACCAAAGAATGCAGAATACAGTTCTTTCTCCAGGTCAAGGTTCACGTCAGCTCTAATGGCGCTTGACCAGAGAGCACACTGCCTCGGGGAGTTGACAAAGGGAGGGCCCACACCCACACGCCATTACCCAGCCAGTAAGTTTCCTTCCTGCTCACTAATCTGGAAAACATGCATGGAGCATTCCAAATCGCCACAGTATATAAGCTCCAGTCTGTGTGGTTAAGGTCTTGATGTACCGGAGATGTCTGTGGCATTGCTTCTGCTAAAATGGACACGTTAATCTGCAGCCAGGCTCTTTATGAGCAGCTAATGAAGGAAATAGCATGGAGTGCCTGCTAGGTTCCAGCCATTGAATGTACTGGCCTTTGTAGCTTGTCTCATTTTATTCTCACAACACTGTGAGATGGGTACACCTACTACATCCCCACTTTATAAACGAGGGAAAGGATCTCAAGAAAGGTTAAGTCATACAACTGGTAAATGGCAAAGCTGATATCTAAATTCATGTCTATCGGGATCCAAATCTATGCTGAGTTGCTTTGATTTTGCTTGGTTAGTTTTTCCTTTGTTACTTTTGCAAAATGAATGGGTCTGGGTTACTGGCATTGCATAAGCAGAGGCAAGGCAAGAGGCAGGATAGAAAGACCGGGGAGCTGGCCCAAGGGCCTGAGGCGGTCAACACTCACCTTCCTGGCCATGTTTGCGAAGTGGGCCCCACAGGCCTTGCAGCTTGGTTCCGAGCCTGTTGGGGAAGGAAAGGAGCTGTACCCAGGATTGGAATAGGCCTGCGCCCTGGCTCCCTGGGGTGGTGAGGCCTCCTCAGGCTGTCCATCCACGCAGAACCAGTTGCAACAGGTTGCCCACATGATAAAATCTGATGAACGGGAAGAAAAGGGGAAAGGTCAGAATTAAGACACGCCTCTAGCATTCCCATTCCTGAAGGCATAGGTGAGCTGGGACACTCAAACCACTCCTGCCGCCAGAGTCAAGGCAGAATATGTTGGGCCACTGGTTTCCTGCCACCTCCTGCACCACCACGTCACCTTTGCCCATAAGAAGCGACTACAGACACCTGATCTGCCAGGATAGCACGGGTGGCCAACTTGACACACTACCTTTGAAAGGTTGCTGATCCTGTTTGGATTTAATGTGAGATCTAACTTCAAATAAAATCTCTTCCCATAGCGATTACAAGGGGCCTAACAACCACTTTATTCAGGAACATGACCTTCTCCTAGAGCTCCCAGATGCAACTTTATCATGCACACACACTGCATAATTCCATGCTCACACTGACTATGTGAAAAGGTATTATTTCCTGTATACAGGAGGTCAAGGTCACGCACTAACATGTAGAAAATCAAGATTCAGAAAACCAGGTCCTTCTGACTCTAAACCTCAAGTTCTGCTCCCTGCACCATGCTGCTGCCCCTGGCTTCCCCTCCCGCCAGCCAGCAGAACTAACCACTCTGACATTTGTACCTGCAATCCCACGTAAGCTTCCATCACAGCACGCAGCTGGTTGCAGATACACACACCCTTTATTTTCTAACACTAAACCACCGTCCCTGGAGAGAAGTAACCACTTCTTATTCATGCCTGTACCTTCCCCTAGCAGTGTCCTGCACAGAGTAGATGCTCAATAAATAAAATTCAGCTTCATTGCTCAATCAGTGCCTCTGTGGGTTTATTAAAAAGTGTTGGATTATTATTCCCATTTGACATACCAAATACAGGTACTAAAGACAAAGGAATTGGTGATCTTTTTAAAAAAATAATAATCCTGCAAGCCCCCTGCTGGGGATTGAGCCCATAATCTAGGCATGTGCCCTTGACCAGAATCGAACCTGGGAACTTTCAGTTGGCAGGCCAACGCTCTATCCAGACCAGCCAGGATTGGATTGGCGATTTTTTAAGATCACAAAACAAAGAGGAGTTAATCTCCCAAATGTAAGAATAACCTAAAGATGGCAAGACAATCCACTAAAATGCCAAGTAATGCCGTGATAAAGAGTGTGCTTTTCTCAGTAGACCAAGGCATTCAACATGAACATTTTGAGCCTGAACTCTGTGTTTACCAAGATAATAAGTGGAACATTTAGTGTTATTACTCAATAATCAGTTCACATAAAAGAATGGTACTTTCTGCGCTGCCTCCTGACTTCTTGAAAGTGCCTTTGTGAAATCATAGTTCAAAGATATGATAAGCTGGAAGGAACTAAGAAGCCAACAGGTTCAACCTTGGCCCTTTTATAGAGGAAAAGCCAAAGGCCAGCAGAGGGAGTAACTTCCTGGTTCACACATCTGTAAGTCAGGCCTCTGACTACTCTAGGGCCTTTTTAACTTCCCAACACTTGCCTCCAATACACCTGTGATATAATTCATTTACTTTTGTAGGCAGATCCAATTTACATCTGCCACACCCCACCCCAAACACTTACCTGTGGCCCCATGAGAACAGGAACCATTAGTCATACAGTATTCAGCAGAGAGGTGGCTCAACAAGTACTACTGAGTGAATGAATCACACAATATGTAAATCTTAACTAAGTGCACATTTGCTCCATTTCCTACAGGGTGAGGGGGTGCGTAATCTGCCCTACTGGTATTTAACAGTTCACATGGAATAATGAAGTAAAGAGCAATTAATTAAATGAGTTCTTTGTTGTCAAGAGAATGGAGACAACAATGGTGCAGTAGCCCTCTGAAGGAGGGATTCTGTAATTCTTTAAATCATCGATTGATAGAAACACTGTGACAGTCTATTAATACAAAGAAAACATATAAGATCTGGGTTAAACAGAGGTCCCAAGACCCGTTTATGGGCTATGTTACCCAAGTCATAGCCTTTCTGTACTTCATTTTTCTCATCTGGACATTCTCTGGCTGTGAAGCGCTAAATAAACATTAGTTGTTGCTACAATCATCATAACAATATTTTAACTACAACTTCTCTGGGAATGCACAGGCAAGAAGCAAACCTAGAGATTTCATGACTACGATATGGCTTTCTAGGCTTGACCTCAGATCTTTGCCAGAGTTAGCCGTCTGTGTCAATGAATTGGAAGGTAGGGGGAGGGAGAAAGAAAGCAGTCTTGGATGAATCCCAGGGATTCTGACTTGCACAACAGGACAGTGGAGTCACTAACAGGATAAGCCCTCAGGAGGAGGCACGTACCTGCGTGGAGGGGGCAGGCTAAGATGATGAGTGGAGTTCTGTACTGTGGGACATGTTGATGTTTGCACAGCACACGGGGGTTTGGTCTCAGTTGAAGATGAAGGTTTGGGAATCCTCAGCCTTCTACAAGTAGGTAAATAAACCCAGAGTGGGGCAGAAAAGAGGCAGGTGTGTGAGAACCCTTGGGAAGTCTTGATCTACAGGGCAAGCAGAGGAAAACCAACCAGCAGAACAGAGAAAGGAAAAATGCTCAGAGGTGGGAAAACTGAGTGTATGAGTTTCAAGAAGAAACTGTCCACACTAGCCAGAGAGTAGAACAAAAAAACAAAAACAAAAAACAAAAAAAAATGCAAAACGGATTAGTTTTAGAAAAAATGTGGATATGCTCTTTGCCTGAGCAGTTTAGGAGGATAACCATAGGTTGGGAAGTGAATAAGTGAGGATTTGCCAGACTTTAAGCATAAATTATTCTTTCAAGAAACTTTTGACTGTGACTAGGAGAGAGAAGGCATTAGCTGAAGAAGATCCAGGTCACTAAACAGAGAGAAATGTAGACATACTGGAACACTGTAGAGGAAACCCCTGAAGATTAGGAGGTTATAGAGGAAGGAAGCTAGTGATAAATCATGGGAGTCAGGACCAGAGTAGCAGGAAACGTGGCACCTAGTGACCAATCAGATCCTGGATGGACACTTCTGGGCAGGAGAAAAGTCACTTCTCACTAGAGAGTGGAACAGAAGTAAAGACAGATATAACCAAAGATAGGCTTACAGCATGAGCAGAAAAAAAATGAAATAAAAAGGAAAAGGAGGGGAAATGATAGATTAACCATGAGAAAACACACTTTCCTCCACATTAGGAATACACAAATTGCAACTGTTTCCCAAGAGATAAGAACTTTGCCACAACGGGAAAACGCACTGTGAAGCACCATCAGTAGGAACCAGTATGTCTCCAATGAAAGCTGGCCCGCTGTGCATTGTTTCAGCTCGTGCTTTATTTCAGAAGCACCAGCTCTGTGCTGGGCACTGGGGCTTACCAAAAGTGATTCGGACAAGGTCCTTGCACCCAGGGGACTTCAGCCCAGGAAGGCACGACAGCTCACCCTGACACAGAAGCGAAGAAAGCTCTCCCTCGGTTGGGAGTCAGGAGGATGACTCATCCCAGCACTACTTTCATTCTCTTCACTCTGTATCTAATCTTAACTGCCTCCAATAGGGAGCCTTGGAGAAAAGCCCTTGGCCTGTGTAAGTATTTGGCTACTCTTACAAGGTCTTGGCTCTGTGAGAAGACTGGAAATTTGTCACTCTTATTTCATAAACCCCACGTTTGAGTGAAGAACAGTCTTATCCTGGGGATATGTACACGTGGAAGAAGGGGTTATTATGGAAAGGGCTAGGTGGAAAGAATCCCCAGTGCTAACATACCTCACACCTGAGCACTCAAACAGAACAAGCTCACCAGTCAACAGACTAGGCTTTTACTCTTTTTGACATATATTTACATACCAAAGACACATTTCCTAATGTGGTCAGTTAAAAGTACTCTCATGCCTCCCCTGACCAGTGTGTTCAATGGTTAGAGTGCTGGCCTGTGCACCAAATGGTCAAGGTTTAATACCTGGTCAGGAGCAAGTACCTGGGTTTGCTGGTTCCAACCCTGCCCTGATGGGGGCATTTCTGGGGCAACCAATGGATGTGTCCTCTCTCCCGCTCCCTCTCTCTTCCATTCTCCATTCATCCTTAGGTAAAGGTTAAGAACAACAATAAAAAAGTACTCTCTTGCCAAACTGGAAAACCCTTAGTCTAAATAATAACTATCTTCAGGGCTATTTTGGGGGAGTGAAAGAGTTTGTAACTTTAACATTGCCATACAAACTACACATTCTTTTCTTGGGAATATTTTTTTCATCCCTAGGCCCTAAACAGATTCAAACGCATGGCATCTGCTTATGTAACTTAAAGGATTGAAAGTGGAACCAATGTGAGGTGTATGAAGAAGTCTCCCTATGTTAACAACTTTGAAAAGCTTCCTTCTCGGATCTGCAAACCTCCTTCTAATCATGAAAGAAAATTACCATATCTTCACTGAGGGCTTGAAAAGCCCTTCTCCAAATCCCCTTGCCCTCTTCAGAAAAGAGGGACTGGGAGACTTAATCCTCAAACAAGGTCTCTGCCTACTCTCCCACTGAGTGTGTTTGAAAACTGCCAGCTCTCCTCCTCCACTTTGCCTGCAGGGGAGGAGGAGAGATGTAGGGCCGGGGTGAACAAGAAAACTGACATTCCCGGGGGAAGAGTCCTGTGGTGTGAGGCAAGAGCGGCTAGCTAGCACACAGATCCTGTCAGCTTGATAAGTACGCTGCTATTTCTTGGGAGGCTGATCCCTGCTGAAGAGGAAAATTACAGCGGTAACCCAGGGGAAGACAGATGACTTATCCCGGGCTGGGGAGCACAGAGGCAGGAGGGGAGGTAATGTGATTTCTTCCTACACAACCACTTCACTTGTTCACCTGATCAAGTCAAATACTTTTAAGTGGCTCAGTGGTTGTCATGGGCTTCACCACGGAGCAGAGAAGGGTCAGAATGTTCCCATGGCCTGGCCCACATGGCTCAGTGGTTGAATGTCAACCTATGAACCAGAGGGCCATTGTTCGATTCCCTGTTGGGGCACATGCCCAGGACGCGGGCTCAATCCTC